CTTTCCGGCAGTGTGACCCTCACCATTTACTCCACCTGTCCCATTTTCTCCTCTGTAAATCACACCACAGTCTCAGGACTATTGGGTACACTGACGATACAACGGTTCCCAATCACCGAATCCTTTGTACTGATACCAGGCACCGCACTTCATCATCTCACTTAATCCTCCCAACAGCCCTTTGTGGCAAGAACTAGTGTTTTCCCCATTGGATGGTGAAGGGGCTGTGGTTCCGAGAGGTTTAAAACCCGCTGAAGGGAGCCGTGGAGGAGAGAGGCCATCCCCTCAAGCCTTATCACTGCCTCCACCTGCCCTCGGGGCTGAAGGTGCTTGGGAGTGGAACCTGGGCTGCTTCACTTCCGTCCCTTTGGTCCGTCTCAGCTGAGCCCCGCTGAGAGCATCCCTGCGGCCCACTCGAGCATCTTTGTTCATCAGCCCACACACAGACTCCCTCTCTGAGCACGCAGGTCCCTTGAAAATAAAAACCCAACCCCATGCATTGGGTAAGAGGAAGTTGCATTGGATGGAGGAAACTTTTCATTTTATAACCTGCCTCTTCCTCCGCTTGCCTGACGCAGTTAATTATTTTACTCCCCATTGTGCCTCCTGAGATGTTAGCCAGGGGAGTTTCACACGGCGAGGAGCAGTGAGCAGGCGGCCCTGCATGAGTGGATTTAAAGGCGAAAACTGCTCTTCCCTGCAAATAGCTCCCCTCACACAAATAGTCTGGCAATCAGCAATAATGATGAGGAAAATGTAGGGAACATACAGGGGAATTAAATGGGAATTTGCTAAAATATTAAGCATTTTTAAACGGGCCTCGGAGGTGCCGGGGGAGCATTTCAAGCTCGCCGAATGAATATCCTGCGGCCTGAAGTTCTCAGAATAGACTGGTGTGTCTGACTCGAGGGCCCAGGCACCCCCCAATTCTGGTTACCTCTCACCCTGGTCTTTCCAGAAAGTCTGGCCACTGGGAGCTGGGCTGCCTTGGTTGAAAAGGGGCTGTGACTGCACCCTAAAGCTTGCTTACTGGATTTCTGCACATTGGTCAACACCGACTCCCCGATCTCTTTCTGTGAGTTAATTGACAAAATGCCGTTGTCACTCTGTCTGCAGACCTGGCTTTTCATGGTGTCCCTCCTGTACAAGTCCTTGAGAGAAGTCTCTTCCTACTTTCAGCCCCAGGAAAAGTGGGCCATCATCTGAACAGCTTTTTTAAAAACCTCACGGTCATCAGGACTGTGTTTCCCTCTCTGCGCTAGCCACTCAGATGCCGCGGGCTGAATGTGCGCGCCAGACCATGTGGCCTGGGTTTGGAGACTTGTCTTACCTGATTTTGTTTTCTTGGTTCCCCCTGCCTTTATGACTTTCTTTTTCTGCGTCCGATATTTTTTTTGGATGAAGGGCACAAATAAGTAGAGAAATATCTTACCAACCCCTAATTAATACAAAGAAAGCTGAGATACAGAGGTGAAGATTGCAGATTCTCTGAGATACAGAGAATTTCACCTCTGAGATACAGAGGTGAAGATTGCAGGATAAGTTCACCTTCGCCATGCCAGTGCCTTAAACAGAACTCGGAACGTAAGAGGTTCTTAACACAGAATCTGATACATAACAGGGACCCAGCCCAGGGCCTGGAACATAGTATTCAAAACCCTTTGATTTACTGTGACATGGACCACCAGCCTGTCACTCACTATAAAATTAACAAGGACGTTAACGTCAAAGAAATATCGAACAAGTTAGGCTGCTGCATGACTCAAGGCCTAGATACTTGATCAAACCATGCTCTTGTCCCGAGGCCACCAGAACAGAGTCCTGGCAGTCTGGCGGCTTACACAACAAAAGTTTACTGACATACACTTTGGGAGGCTGGAAGTCCAAGATCAAGGGCTATTCGAGAGACAAGTTGCTCCATGCCTCCCCCCTAGCTTCTGGCGGTTCGTTAGCCATCTCTGGTGTTCCTCGGCCGGTGGAAGCCTCACTCCATCTCTGCCTTCATCGTCAGGTGTCATTCCTTTGGCATGCGTGTCTGCATTCAAATTGTCCCTTTTCATAAAGACACTTGTCACATGGAACTAGGGGCCAACCCTACTCAATATGACCTCATCTTAACTAATTATGTATGCAATGACCCTATTTCCAAATAAGGTCACACTCTGACATACTGGGGGTTAAGGCTTCCACCTCAGTATTTTTGGCGGCGGGGACACGATTGGACATTTCAAGATCTAACTGCTTCCGAGTTCTGCAGGGGAAGATGGAGGCTTTTGTCCAGTTTCACTCTGAAATCAGAGCCCAGAGCCCAAAGCCCACGGCGCTGGCCGGGTCCACTGGGTGTCCCTGGAGCCCCTGCCACTGCCAGGTGCCAGCACCACGCACATGGTGAGCGCTCTGCGCTGCTTCTGAAGACCGTGGTCCATTGTGGGACCTGGCAGGTCTCCCTGACAGCCTGTCACTCTGTGACAGAATCTAAATGACAGCACAGAAGGCTTCACAGCAAAAGGGGGCCCAGACACCTGTCCATCAATGACAAGACACTAAATTATCCAAGGATCTAGTGGCCCACTGAACCTCCAAAGTCGATGAAAGGGGTTTCCAGGACCAGCTGGGAGACTCCCCATGTAGAAACACGCTGACAGTCGACCCGCCAGCCCCGTGTGCGGCCGGGCCTCCCAATGAATCCACTGCCTGGGTTCGGACCCCCCGCCCTGCTCTGTTTCAGCTTTCTGAGCCTCCGCCTCCCTGTCAGTCAATGAAACACTAACAACGGCCCAACAACCTACAGTGGCTCTGAGGATAAGTAAGTTCATTCATGTGCCCAGAAGTGGGGGGTGGGAGGGCGTGGCACAGACACACGGGCACAGGGCCAAGTCCTACCACAGATGTGAAATCACGGCATGGCCAAGGTCACGACTGAAGCCTCGTAGGGGGAAGATATTTGAAGAGCTGCATGCATCTCAAGAGCACACTGGAAGCACCTGACAGGTGTCGCTGCAGACCGCTGGCAGAGAGGGACCTCCACAGAGCTGGTCCAGGGTCCTGCTGGTGAGGGTGTTAGACTGAAGCATTAGAACGAGCTTCTTCATTAAAGTGGTAAAATCTATTGGCTCCCAGAGTAGCACCCAGCACAGGGGGCAGGGGGTGCCCAGAGCAGCAACGTCACCTAGCACACAGTAGGTATTCAACAAATTTTGGACAAAGGTTTCATAGTGACTCAGCTATTCAGGCAAACACACGAGTTTGAAATCAGGTATGAGAGTCTTGTGATAAGTGTGTAGGGTGCCAGGTGGGTACTGAAAACATACGGGGTGGCGGGGACACTTTGCAAAGTATGATTACCTAACCACTATGATGTACACCCGAAACTAACTCAAAATAAAATTGAATGTAAACTGCAGTTGAACATTTTTTTAATTAAAAAAGAAGTCTGGCTCCATACTTTTACGTGACTTGGCAACTTTCAAGCTCTTCCCACGGCTTCTTCCCATCCTACCCTGTGTCTGGGCAAGATGATAAGAAAGCCCCGCTGCTCCTTCTCTCTGAGCTTGGTGGTGGGGGTGCGGCGGGGTTCAGACCACCAACGAGGTAACGCTCACCCCAGCCCCACTGCCCAAAACCCTGGGCCAGTCTGCCTCCCTGCTCTCTCAAGTGGATTTCGACCTGGGGGCCTGCCTGTTCCCCCCAGAAAGCCTCCCTCTGTGAGTCTTTGCACACCCTTTGGGTGTGTCAGTCTCAACCTCTGAGCCAAATTTTGAGCAAAGGGTCCCTACCCAGTAACGAAGCTGCTGCCACGTCAGCCCTGGCTCCCAGGTGTGAGCTCTGCATTTGCTTTGTTTGTGAAATTAAGAGGTTGCAAATGGAACAGTTTTCTTCCCGTCAGGTGACCCTGGAACCTCAGGACACTCTTTGATGATTGGTGGGTTTAGAGGCTTGAAAGCAAAGCAAAGCCTTCAGGCGAATCTCAGAGAAGGCAACCTTGGCCGGGAGCCCAGGCCGGAGAGCACCGACCTGCTCCTGGCGACCAGGGGTGAGCCCCTCTTCCACACCAGGCACCTCGCCGACCCCTTTCCGGCCCAAAGGCAGCTGATCCTGTGGGTGCGAATTGTTATGCCCACTTCATAGCAACGAGCGGATGCCCAGAGTGGAGCAGGCACTCAATAAACACTTGCTGAGTGATGCAGTGATGAAGGAACTGACACTTGGAGAGGTGAGGTCATTTGCAGACCCAGAATTCAAGGTCAGGTCTGACTCTGGAATTTTCAAGGTGGAAAGGCTCCTGCCCCACAGGCCCGAGCACGCCCTCAGCAATTACCACTCCCGAGACGTGCAGAGTGTCTTTTTGTGTTTTTTTAAGGTAGCAAATTCATTTGAATAAATTTTCATTAATGCTTTTTGATCGAGGAAAGAAAAAATTCTATTCATTCAACTGCTCTCACTCTTACAAAAATGAACTGTATTTTATATGCACACATATCATTATATTCACTTATACACTATGTACAGCATGGATAACTGGAACCACTGTAAATTGAAATATATTAATATTAATCAGATATCACAACTAATGTGCACTTGGCACTATGCTATAATTGGTATTTATAATAGTAAAAGCCATTATATAGTTAAATAGGTAGTTAAAAGAGGGAGATGATATTCCGTGTGGGTAACCCCACCTGGGGGTGAGGAATGGGAGTAGTCAAGCAAAGCTATTAGTGCAAGTGTGACCCTCCACGGGTGTTGGGGGCTGAACAGATCCCTCAGAAGTACACGTCTGAGCCCTCGTCCCCTACCGGTGTCGCTAAGCTTACCCGGAAATAGGGCTGTAGCACAGGCGTGCTCAATGTCAGTATGAGATCTTCCTGCTGTTAGGTCAAGTCTTCCAGGGAAAGGAGTCTGTGAAAACGGAGGCCAAGGTCGGACCCTGCCGCCACAGGCCTAGGAGTGACTGAGACTTTCCTCCCGGTCAGCTCATCTCCCTGCCCCCCTCTGCCCAGCTTCCTGATCCAGTCGGTGAAGATAGGCCGCGGCTACTTCACCATGCTGCAGGAGGAGAGCGCCTGGAAGAAGAGGCAGCAGCAACTCCAGAAACTGAGAGAGGAAGAAAAACATAAATTCCAACCAGCCAAAAGGATCTCGGACCTCCACTACAAGGATATTCTTTTGGCGTAAGTAGAGGAAGGGCCGCGGGCAGCGGGCGCTGCCCGGTTGGATGGGGGGCGGCAGCTGCCTCACAGTGGGAGCCCCTTCCCGGACGAGTGTCTGCTGACTCCGCGCGGTCTGGTCCAGCCTACCCTGTCGGCCTCGCCTTCTGACAGTCGGTGGAGTATTATTTTCTACTACATGTGTCTGTTCTCCTTATCCAATGCCAAGAACTCCACAGGAAGTCTCGTCATTCCCTAAATGTGCCTGTTTTTTCCCCCACACCAAGCAATTCTCTGCAACATCAACTGGGTGTACCACCACCCAATCCAGCTCCAACACTTTGCACCTGGAGTTAGCATCAGCTCCCACAGGTTAAGGGCTCAGCCCCAAAAGACTGTCCCCACCCCAGCCCTGCATCAGACACAAATCACAAATCCCAGATTGTCATCTGTACTTCTGACCGATCAGTGGCACACTAGGGTTCCTATGACCCCTTTCTTGGGTTTGGTCCCTTTCTAGAGTGGCTCACGGAACTCAGAGAAACACCGACTTACGTTTACCAGTTTGTTATATAATCAAGGACACAGATGACCAGCAGGATGAAGAGGTCCACAGGGCGAGGTCTGGAAGGGTCCCAAGGGCAGGAACGTCTGCCCCATGAAACCGGGGAGTGCCACCCTCCCATCATGGGGTTGTGCTCACCCACCCAGGAGCTCTCCCCAAACCCCGTACTTTTGAAATTTTCACAAAGGCTCCGGCCTGTAGGCACCACTGGTCACCTGTCGTGAAGTCTGAAAGTTCCAGGCTCCTAACTATGGCTCGGTCTTTTGGAAGCCACCAGAGCCCACCCAGAGCAGGCTCCTTATAACAACAGGCAATCCTGTCCCCCGGGAACTCCCGAGGCCTTTAGGAGCTGCCTGTCAGAAGCCAGGGTCTGAGACCAAAGAGTGGAACGAAAGATGTTCCCAGTGCGGCCATCACCTAGGACACTGCAAGAGCTTCAGGAGCTCTGTGCCAAACAGCAGAGGAAGAAACCAGTGCGTATTTTCTCTCCCTTCACAACGCCCCTTTAGGGAGTTGGGAAAGAACCCCCAGGGGTGTGGCTCTGGACCTGGAGCTTTAATGCTGAATGGGAGGTGGCAGGATGACGGAAAGGAGGCGGGGTTAGACAGACGCACCTCAGCCCAGCAGCAGTCCCTGCAGAAGTCCCTGCAGCCAGCATTTTTCCGTTACGAAGTCCGGGGCTGACAAGGGAAGGTGTGTTGTCTCTCACCAGGAGTCAGGAACCTTATTCCCCAAGTGCAAGGAAAAAAAGCAGGCAAGTTTTGACCTGAGCCACCTCATCCAGCCACTCAACAGACCTCCCCCGAAGTGTCCTCATGGGACCTGGGAGGGGCATTCGATACAGAGGAGGCTGCTCCATGAGCAGGGGAGTTCTTACCCGCTCCACGAGGCGCCCCCCACACCAGAGCTCAGGGCAAATCCTGCCTTCCCTGCACCCCACGGTGCTCTGCTGCTCCCAGTGACACCAGCCAGCTGCACCCTTTCCTGGGTAAAGGCAGGAAGGAACTCGGCTCTTTTTTGCAGGAGCTGTGCTCAGATTAATGGGCAAGGGAACAGGGGGCTGCAAGCAGGGGGGAGGGGGGTGTCTGTTTAAGACCCCCCACTCCCACCCTGCCACTGCTTAAATGGTTCATTGTAACGACTCCCTTCTTTAGATGGGGTTTTTAGTCCATGGTCACAAAACACAGCGCTCGCCTCTCCAGATCCATATTTCGGTGTGAGACATGGTTTATTTAAAGTTTAATAAGTTTAAATATGCATGAGGTCGCTCCTCTTGTAGACATTGGTCTGGTTATGTCTTATCTGGTGAATTCTATGAGCTGTACAAGGCTGGTTATTAAAATATAACTGGAGGCAATTACTGTGATGTTGCTGTCAAATGCAGGTCGGGGGGGGGGCGTTATAAAATAGCATGGAGAGATTACCCGGACCAATCCAGCACAGGACTGGATTCAAACCCTGACTCCCCCACAAACTGACTCCCCCACAAGCCGGACAAGTCCCTACAGCTCTCCGAACCTCCTTTTTCCTCGCCCGTACAAATGAAACCAAACTCCGAGGTTTATTACGAGGATTGAATGAACTAATGCTTAGCAAATGAGACGTGCTCAGTGACTTGTTAGCTGCTATTATGCAATAAAGAGAATTTGATCTCTCTGGGCCCCCACGACCTAAAATCCTCAGCTTTATGGCTAAAAACCGTAATTTCCAGGCACGCTTGAAAGCATCTCTAGACGTCTAATTCCAATCGCGGCAGTATCAAAAATACAAGGCTGCGTTTTTTAATACTTTCTTAAACAAGCTGTTTGGTCTCACGCTTTATGACAGCAAAAGGGATTATTTTTTTCTCCCCTCTGGGTCTAAGACCACAGGATAAATTCTTTCAGACAGAAGTTTTAAGTCTGACAGACTATGCAGGGGAAAAAGAAAGTCGAGCTGGCCTCCAAAGATTTCCACCTGCAAGCCGCCTTCCCCACTGTGCTTGGTGACCTCGTTTTTCACCTGCAAATTAGGCTGAAAAGGTGAGGAAAACAAGGAATAGGATCTGCGTTATTATTGAGGCGGAGGGGAGATGTGAAACCTGAGATTAAGGAGTGTAAAAAGCTGGGTTAATACTGCGTATTCTAAACCTTTGGGGGCGAGCATGGAGGCAGTAAGACTGGGCGCTGCCAGGGTGTGGGGTGGGTGGGGCCTGTGACGGAGGGAGACTTTGGGTGGCGGACACACAATACAGTGTATTACATAAGACGTGTTACAGAATTGCACACCTGAAACCGATGTACTTTTATGAACCAGTGTCACCCCGATCACTTCAATTTAGAAAGGATAGGGCTCGTACACTGAAAACTATAAAATATCATGGGAGGACATTAATACTGAAACAGTAAGTAAAGACTGGGCATTGTCAAGGTGTTTCCTTGAAACTTTCTCATCTCTAGGGCTAACAATGAAAATCAGGCGACCTAGATTCTGGGCCCACGTGTCAGTTAACTCTGTGACCCCAGGGCTACCCTCAAGTTCCCAGGAGGAAGGTATAGCCCTAATATGTGCCCCCGCTTCACCTCCTGTGTCCCTGCCACAGGCCATCCTCAAAACAGCAGCCAGAGGGGTCCTTCTCGGGTGCGAGTCGGATTGCGTATTCTCTTGGCCCCAAATCCCTCACGCTCCTTAGAGAAGAGGCCCAAGCCCCTGCCGTGGTCCCCAAGGCCCCTGTTCTCTCTCCACCCTCCTCACCGCTCTCCCGCTATTGCTCGCTCCACTCCCGCCACACCCGCCTCCTTCCTGTCTCTACAACACGGTGGCACCTCAGAAAATGTGCATGTCATCCCCTCTGTCCAGAATGCTCTGCCCCAGACGTCTGAAAGGCTCACTCCTTGACGCTCTGCAGATTTTTCTCAAGTGTCACCTTCTCGGTGACACCTTCTCAATCATCTTACTCAAAATTGCAACTCCCAGAGCTCCCAGTCCTCCCAAACCCCCTTGTCTGCTTATTTTGTCCTCACAGCATCAATCACTATCTTGTAAGGGGGAGGGAGGCCTTGGGGACCAAATCCAGCCCCCAGCCTGATTTTACAAATAAAGTTTTATTCGAACACAGCCATTACATGTTGTTTACATACTGTCAATGGCTGCTCTCATGCTCCTAAGTAGTTGTGATACACACCTTATGTCCTACCAAGTCAAAAAGGTTTGTCTGGCCCTTTAGGAAAATACATCCAACCATATACCAGTACACCACACAATTTACCTATTTATCCTGTTTATTCTCTTGGCTCCTCCCCTAGAATATACACTTCATGGGAGAAGAGGTCGGTTGTTGTTGTCTCACTTAACTTATGCCTTCATTGACTGATTCTTGTACGTTCCCTCACTGGGGAATCAAGCCTGCAACCCTGACATATGAGGACGATACTCTACCCAGCGGAGCGACCTGGCCAGGGCAGAGAGCAGAGATTTTTATATGCTCTGTTCCCTGGCTGTATCTAGAACCTTCATCTTTCAAGGGATAATTATTGCCTCGCACATATAGCCGGCGCCCAGTCATATTTGCCAAACCATCCCTGGCGAGAGGCGTTGGAAAGGGACGCTCACTGCCTGCTCTGTCTCTCTCCCTCTACCTGCCCTTCAGCACACACGATGGTGAGAAGATCAAGAAGCTGGGCACTAGCACCCTGTTCCGCCCGTTCACCCCCAGGCACAGCTGCATCATCGCGCCCTGGCTGCCGAAGGCTCACGTGTAAGTACAGCGTCCCCTCCGGCTCATCTGCCTTGCCCGGTTCCCAAGCGAAGTCGTGGCAAAATGACTCAACCAGCTACCGCACCTTCAGGAGCCGCTGAGCTTTGCCTTTGTCCTCTTGAAAGGGACATGGAGCCTGGAGCCAACAACACTAGTTGGCGCATAAAAAATCACAGAAAGCAGACACGGTGGTAGTTTAGAGCTAAGTGGCAGATCCGCTGGGACTGAAGCATTCCATTCCTTCCCGAGCCAGATGCTCTAAATGTCAAACCATGTGCAAAGCCCAATAAAATCTGTCCACAGCCTTCACGGAGCATGTGTGACAACGTTTCAGCCATGGCTCAGGGGACAGGATTTCCCCAAGACTCACGGAGCCATTTCCCAGGGAAGCCGTCTCCAACCCAAGGCATGAACTCATCATTGCAGGCTATACCGGGCTACCCAACCCTCCCGGGAACACTCTGGCTTTCTAAAACCTTGACGTCTTGCTCCCCTTGGGCCCATGCCAAGGAATTCTAAGGCCAACTATTTCTTTACCTGCAAAATCATCCCCACCCCACCATCCCCACGTTGAGAATTAGTTTTAAGGCAATGAACAGGGTGCAATGAATCCTAGACTTCTCTGTCCACTGTCCACTCATTTGTCAAATATTACTAGGCCCGTACGGTATGCACAGTAATGGGCGCTGAGTGCTCTGTAGCTTCATCTCATGCAGTCCTCTTGCACAGGTGTATTGCTGTCCCCTCTCGCAGGTGAGAAAGCAGAAGCTCAGAGAGGGTTAGAGGGCAGTGGCCTGCCCAAGGCCACAGAGTTTAGTGTGCTGCTGTGCTGAGGTTTTAAGGCAAGTCTGACTCCAGGGCCTAACCTCTCCCCACTGCATATGATACAGAAAGTATATGTGTACTTGAAGAGTAAAACAATGCAAAAGTAAAATTAGAGGTTGAGATGGAAGATAAAAGATGATTAATAAGAGCACTTAGTTCATGGGTGGAAGGTTACAACCTCATCAGCTAGTCACTTCCATCATCACCATCACCACCACCACTATCATTATCACCATCATCATCACCACCATCACCACCACCACCATCATCATCCTCATCACCACCATTACCATCATCATCACCACCACCATTACCATCCTCATCATCATCCTCATCATCCTCCTCATTCTCATCATCCTCCTCATTCTCATCATCCTCCTCATCACCACCATCACCACCATCATTACCACCACCACCATGATTTGGACACATCCCTGTCCCTCCCTAATACTCCAGCTTTTGAAGCTTCACTCTCCATTTTTCTCCTACCTCCCTCTCCTCCTACCTCCCTCTGATGAATATTTTGATTGGCTTCCTGACAGACTTATTTGTTCCAGGACATTCCAATTGGTGGCCAAAGCTTGATGTTCTTAAAACATCACCAGGCCTTGCAATTTCTCCTAGTATCTCTTGGAAGCACTTGTACTTCTGTCTGTCTCTGAAATCAAACAGTGTAGATCAGTGGTTCTTAGGCTTCCACTAGCATCCTAATGGGGTAGGGGTCGGGGGTGGAGGTGGAGACTTAGGAAAACATATATTCATGTGCCCCACCCTTGATTCATTTGATCTGAGCAAAGTGAGGCTCAAATCAACTGCGGAAGCGACTGGAGACTTTCTTGCTCATCTTCCTTCAAGGTCAGATGGAAAAACTGAAGCCCAGAGAGAGGCAGAAACTGCCAAAGTTCTTCCAACAGGAATACTGAGCTAGAGCCTAGGTCAGATCTTTGTATCAGGTTTACTAGACAGGCTACTATCGTTATTATTATCTGTTATACCCCAGACCAGGGATCAGCAAACTTTTGCTTAAAGGGACAGAGAGTAAATATTTTAGCTTTTGTAGACCAGATGGTCTTTCCTGCAACTACTTAACTTTGCCGTGGAAGCATGAGAGCTACAATGAATGGTTCTGGTCATGTTCCAAAAGAGTTTTATTCACCGACACAGGTGGGAGATCCATTGGCAGTAATTTGCCAACTTCTGCTCCAGATCAAAGGCTGCACTTTCTTCTCCTTGGCTGTTAGGAGACTCTGCTAAACTTGATGACTGCATCAGTACCCTATTGCTGTGCTACAGACCACCTCAAAATGGGGTGGCTTAAAACAGCAACCACTTGTTACTGCTCACACGTCTATGGTTCAGCTGGGTGGCTCCAGGCCGGCTGGGCTGACACTGGCTAGGCCTGTGTATGTGTGTGCGCCCAGCTGATGGGTGAACTGGAAGCTGGCCATCCAGCATGGCCCCACTCACAGGTTGTTGGTGATAAGTTGTTGGCGAGGGTGACAGAAGTCCAGGCCAGATACAAGGAATAGGGGGAAAGACTCCATCTCTTGAAGGGGGAGATGCAGAGTCACATTGCAAAATATGTGGATGCAGGGAGGGCTGAAGCACCAGGGAATTTTGTAACCAATCTACCAAACGGCAGGACGTGCCCAGTCTGTTCTCAAATTCTGTCATCACATCAGTTGATGTGGACTGAGCTGGTCGGTCCCTTCAATCCCAATGCAGTTGATCCCCAAACCAGCTGATGATTCTGAATTGACTTTGTGGGGATCAATTCACTCATGTCAAGTGAGAATTGACCTTTATCTTTAAAGGAGTGGGAGAGAATGAATGGTCTCCAAGAATGAGAAACAGCCCCTCCTTTCCTCTCTAAGCTGACCGGCCTGTCCCTCGCAGCCTGCACCCAGGTTTGCCCTTAGCAGTCAGCATGGAGTGTCTGGAAGGCCTTTGTATGCATTTTCCAGTTCCTTTTAGCAAATGGCAAGAAAACACTGTTTTCTTTTTGGAGATGTTTAAGCCCACTGTATTCCGGTTGGCATGGCAGTTTCAACAGAGTCGGCTATTCAGGCATGCTGACCACTGGGTGCTCTGCCAGACTTCTGTGCGCAGGGGTTTTGGAAGCGGGCGGTGTGCACCCTGGTCAGCATTCTTACCTATTATACCCTGCATCTAACAGGAAGGGATAGGGTCAGGTTTGCACCTGTTCTTGTTACCTGCAGAAATGAATTGGATGCTCACGTGCCCCTGTGACCAAACAGGCCCCACGTCAACTGTGAACTCCCTTTATTCGCCCCTCCTTCCTCCTGCCCACCTCACACAACCCAAAGCTCAGGTCTGCAGGGGCTCTAAGTTGTGAACAGAGAAGGGGGATCTCCCCGGACCTTTTGCAACTTTCTGGGGATACTGTGAGGGTGGCATGCAGTGTCAGGCACAGGGCCAGGGACGTGACAGGGCCTGCTACTGCTCTTGGTGCAATGCTGGGCAAGGCCCAGCACCCAGAGCTGCTGAAAGGTGGTTACCTATAGGGACCAACATGGTGTTAAGGGGGAAGAGACAAAAATGAGAAAGGCTGTGGGCTTGCAGGGCCTTTAAAAGTAAAAGTAAGGTGCTTACTAAATACAGTGGTACCTTGGTCATCATCATTAATTCGTTCCAGAACTCGTGACCAGTGCCGAAACTGACAAGTACCAAGCAAGCAATGACTGATGAAGCATTTTCTCTTGTGGGGCTGTGTTGTGACTTATACAAGTTCTAGCAAGTGCAATGAGTCCCGAGCAAGTGCTGAGTGCTGAAATATTTTCTTCTCGTTAAACTGTGACAAGTACAGGGTTGGACGAGTTCTGACACTGACGAGTACCAAGCAAGATATGACTATAATTTGTGGAAGGAAGGGAAGGAGGAAGGAGGGAGCTCCAGAGAAGAAAACAACATGGTTGATCCTGGTTTTCTCCCTAAGACCTGGTGGATACGGCCACCCCAGTACCTAGGGACAGGGCTATGGGGTGTTGGGGGGCAGCTCCCCTTCAATCTCAGTGAAATAAACTCCTCCCAAGGGATTTCCAGGACAGCGCTGGTCAGCTCCACACTTGAGCCCCAGGGATTGGGCCTCAGCTTCTGAGGCAGTGCCTTCCTAGAAGCAGGGAGGGTGGATTCTTTCCTGCCCCTCTGAGCATCAGGCCCAGGGGCCCTGGGGAGTATCGATCAAAGACTGGACAAAGTTTCAGAGAAGAGCAATTACACTGGCTAATAATGGAGGCATCGGGGCCCATTAGCGTAAGAGGAGAAATCCTGCAGGGAGTAGGGGGCTGGTGAGGACTTGTTTCCAGGAAAACGTGCAGCAGGTTAACCCTCTCCTGACCTCACTGTCTGGGGACCAGTACGTTGGCTTTGTCAGTATCACGACCAGTCGGAGCTTCGGCCCAGGAAAGCCCAGTCTCTGGTGTTAAACAGACTCGGGTTCAAATCTTCACTAATCCTCAAGGTCAACCCACTTACTTCTCTGAGCGCCAAGTCCCTCATCTGTAAAATGGGGCCCTTGCAAAGGTTTAACGCACTGATGCATGGGAAGTATGGCTGCCTGGGGCAGGGCACCATCTCTAACTGGACGCCAGCACAGCTTCCGTCTCTGTTGCCATCATTGTGAAGGGTGCTACTCCAACGGGGCCCCACTGTGCTCCCTCTCTCTGTCTTTGCAGGGAACCCCTCTTCCGCCAGCTCTGCGCCCTCCACTGGCTTCTGGAGGCCCTGACCATCGACCACACCCACCACACCATGAAGCCCTTGATCACCTGCTGGAACCCAAAGTATGTGTCAGCCCCTCCACCTGCTGCAGCCAGCAATCAATCGACGGGGCGGCGGGGGAGGAAACGCCTATTTGTTCTTCCCCTGCCCTTGCTGGTTTGGGTGGGTGGGTTAAAACTCTAAGAGTTTTCCTGTGTGCTCCGGGAGGTCCAAACAGGGGCGAGCTGCAGCCCCAGGGCATACGGTTGTGGGAGCCGACTGTGTGTCTCCTCCCAGCACCTCTTCTCCACTCTGCACCTGGGGGTGTTACACTGAGAGCTCAAAATCAATGAGCCACGAGGGAGTGTTTACACCACAGGAATCGGCCAGCTGGACCGGCGCACCGCGGGATGCAGAGCGGGACTGCGCTCCGTGCCTCCTCTCAGATCATGTCTTCCCAGCAATATGTTTTATTTGCTCCTCTTTCTTTTCCTCCTCTTCCCTCCCCTTTACTCTTTGCTTTCCCTTTGTTCTTGTTTTTCTCCTTTCTCTCAAGGTGTTTTGGGTTCATATGTATATACTGTTTATGTAATATGTATTCAATAGTTTATACGTATATATGGCTGCTCCTCCACCTGGACCCAAGGGAAGAGTCAGGGTCTGGCCCCTGCAGCAGCTGGGTTTGCTCAGGCACAAGCTCCAGAACATGTGGTCTAGGCCGAGAAAAGTGCTAGGTGCATCCCCACCTGCAGGGGGCACTCACGGGGAAGCCCAAGGCCACCATTGCAGGAACTACGGTGCACGCACAAGGCAGAACAAGGCACAGGCCGGCATGGAAAGGCGCTGGCTCTTTAAGGAGTCACGTTGCCTGTGAGAATGGAGCAGAAAAGGGCAGGAACCCTGACTTGAGGAGTTGGATTTGCTCTGTGGAAATCCCAGGCTGAGTAAAATAAAAACAGTTCCCCCACGCAGGGGAACTCCCTACTCCGACCCCCTCTCCTCTCATACCCCTGCCTTAAAGGTGGATTCAGTCTTCTAGCTCCTCCAAAGTCCAGAATCTTAATTAACACCTTCTCCGTAAGGACAAATACAGCCCATCTCCCAAGCCCCCACCCCGTCCCATACCTATGGCCCCAGAGACCAGATAAACTAACCTCAGACGCAACCAGAAACAGCCCCGATAGACCAGTAACTCTAATTGAGTCCATGTTCTTGGTTGGGATAAATTGAAAACTCTCGTTTCCTTTGATGCAGTGTTTTACAACTTTTTTTTTTAAACAGCAGCAATCCTTTAAACAAAGAAATGGAGACCCCAATATTGTAAAACAAATGTTTCAAAACGGAGCTTCTACATGAAACAGGAGACTGGGGGTCTGGGAGACCTGGGACCCTCTCCCACTCCCACGAGGGCACCCTAGTTGTTTCCAAAATACTGTATCTTTGTGGCTCACAGAATTTGTCTGAAAACCACAGCCTTAAAACAATTCCGACAATTGTTTTTTTGGGGAAAAAAAAAAAACTGTTCAACTAATACACGACTATAACCTATTCTTACTAAAATATTTCCAAAAATTCAGAACCATATAAAATTCAAAAGCCTTTATTCCCTACCCCCACCCCCAATTCATTTTCCTTCCTGAGGAATTTCCTTCTGAAGGTCTGAGGTGAGCCCTCGTAATGCCTTCCCCTTATAAATGTATATGGATGTGCAATTTTTTTTTACAGAAATAGGATCCTATCATGCATGTTGTGTTCTAGGTGATATCCCCCTGATGGCACAGACAAAGTTTTCACATTTTCAACAGTTTCCACGTTCCTTTAAGAGAACACTTGTGTTCTACGGTACAGAAGGACCGTAATTTAGACAGCCATTTCTCCATCGGTGCCCCTCCGATGCTTTGCGTTTCAAAGGGCACTGCTCAGAGCACCCTTGTGCATATGTTTTAAGCCCAGCTGGGAGTATTCCGGTTGGCTAGAAATGTTGATTCTGAGAAATCAGATTTCCAGGTCACAGCAACTTCTAATTTTTTTCACAGCTGACTGCTCGATTCTAAGAACCAGGGCCCTCGGCCAATGGCCTCCTAATAGCGTTTCATCTCCCCACGCAAGCTAGTGGCGGCTACGTTTTGCCTCTAACATTGAAGCACCTGTTCTCCCAAATTGGGGCGAGAACATCATGCAGAACTTGGATTGAGAAGACAGGAAGGACCGCCTTTATTTCCTTTGATTGGTTTTAGAAATGTGCTCAAGCTGGAAGGTGACCCCCAAAACAGTCACCTGCAGTAAAAACGACAGTGGTCACATTGAGAGTAACGCAGGCTCTACCATGACCTCTCAGGGCAGGACCCGACCCAGAACCTCAGCCAGACCTGACGGAAAGAGGCAGCCCAGGAAAGGTTCCCAAAGGAAGTCAGGGTGCTTGCCAGGGTTCATTTTTTCTAGTGAACCACATGCTCCCGAGGGTGGTTTTAGTTTGGGGTCAGCTGTGTGCAGGTAAATGTTTAATCGCCAGCTGTCCCAGCAGGAGAAGCCCTGATTTATAGTCACACCAACATCCGTGCTGGAAATGGTCATGCTGTGGCTGATTCCAGGCTTAGCGACATGATGCCACTGAATTGGGAAGAGATGCACATGTTGAGTTCTTGTGAGCCAGTGTGGGCCAGCTCCAGAACATCACGGTTTGAGACTCATCTTTAAAAATGTATGAATCTGTGCATGGGGGTGGGGCAGGGGGTTAAGTTCCCTAAGAGTACCAGAAAGAATCTTTTTAGCTGGCAAGAAAGGACAAGGCTATCTTTCTCCTCTTTAACACTGGATCCCTACTGGAAACGTTGCATCCTTCTGCCATAGTGAGAATTTCCCCAACTCTTTGATTGCATTTTTTAGAGGCCAGAGACTGGAGGGATCACGATCAAGGGCTTTGGCATCAGGTGGACCTGGCAGGGTCCGGGCTCTGCCATTTAATGTGACCTTTGGCAACTCACTTAACATGTCTGGGCCTCTCTGCTTCTTCACCTGTCAAGTGGGTCCCTGCCCTGGCAGAGCTGTGGGAAGGACTACGAGAGAGAAAGCACACTGAGCATCCCGCCCGGTGTCTGAGAACACAGTGAGCGCTCTCTGTACAATAGCTGCTCAGGACTGAAATCTCCGTTGTAAAGAGCAGTTAGCCCTATGATCACCAATGCTATTGAGACTTAAGGCTAGGCAAGAAATAAACTTCTGAGCTGAATTCTAGCAGCAGATTAATAGACCCAGGTTGACTGGGCAAATAAAGAAACATTCAAAGAGGCAGGAAAAAAGAAAACTATGCATGGTCAACCAAAATCTGGTTACAAAATAAACGTTCCAGCACTGGCTGGTGGGCTCAGTGGGTTAAGTGTTGGCCTGCGAACTGAAAGGTTGCCAGTTCAACCCCTGGTCAGGGCACGTGGCTGGGTTGCAGGCCAGGTCCCCAGTTGGGGACACGCAAGAGGCAACCGGTCTTCCTCTCCTCCTCCTTCCTTTCCCCAGTCTATAAAAATAAATAAATAAAATCTTTAAAGAATAAAAATTCCAGAAAATGATCCCAAGAGGGAAATACCAAGCCTTCCATTCTCCTGATTGTGCTTTTCCGAGTTCCCACCATCCAGCAGCCAGTGACCACCCCCCCCTCCATTACTAAAATGTCTGGGACACAAACCTGGGTGCTGACACCTGCCATGAATTTTCCGAAAGGAAACATCCACCTCCAGGGACCCTCAGGTTCCAGAGGCTTCATCTCTCTCAGACATAATGATGGCTACAGATGCAATCCCCACCCCTTACGGATTGGATAGCAAGGAAGTAGAATGGCTCAGTACCTCAATGTGGGCTTTTTACAGGCAGAAGAACTTTACTAACCGGTGGCCAGTGTGTCCCAAACAGAAGATGATCTTTGTGAGGTGCAGGAAGATCCCGCATTTGGAAGGATTGGTGGCTGGTTGGGTGAATGAACAGACAACAGATTTGAGGATGTCCTTATAAGTTGCATCTGAGTTTTTGCTTTATTTGCCAAAAAAAAGCAGGAGGGGAAAAAGAAGGAGGAAGAGGAGGAAGAGGGGAGGAAGATGACCTTCCTGATTTCATCACGTGGCCATTCAAACAGGTTACCATGTCCCGACATCCTTACAGGGTCTACCGCTGACAAGAGCGTTTATGTCCCCTGACAAGGTGGTCGGGTCCACTCAGCAGAGCAGAAACTGAGCCTTCAATAACAAATGTGCTCATTACGCAGCGTGAGAGATGCAGGCCTCTGACTGGGCCAGGTAAGACTTGCTTTGTCTACAGAGACCCACAGGTCCTCCCTCATCTCAACCATGGACACATGAGCCCCACCTATGCCAGACAAGAGGTTTTCCACTCTGAAAGCAGGCGTTTTACCCCACACGTGAGATCAGGAAGAGAATGAAGTGTTTGAGAAAAATTACTCTGATTGCCACTGTGAATAGACACCTTCAAGGGACTGCTAGGAACAAAATGTGATTAAAAGAGATGGGACAGCACTCAAGGCCCTTGTCCCTGGATTTCTGGCATTAGGATCTCCCAGAAAGCTTCAGCAGGTGGAAATTATGGTCCAGAAATCACAGGCACTTCTGCCCCATGGACCTGCCTTGATGTCTCCTTCCACCCTCTGCCCCTCCTCCAAGCTACTCCAAGATCTCTGTTGAAAGAGGCGGTTGATGTTAACAGTACAAGGAACTTCACCAAATTCTTAACAAACCTCATTCCACTGCATCTTCACAAAATAGCTAAAATTGCCCCCTCTGTTTTACAGATGAGGAAACCGAGGCTCAGAGAGTCTCAATAACTTATACAAACACACATCTAAGAAGCAGTGGGAGCGGGTGGTGACTGGAACAGCCAGTCCACTAGATTCTTAAACCACCACATACACCACTTTCCAGGTTCTGATGTTCACAGACACTTGCCTGAGGCCACAGACAGTAAATTAGGGGCGTCAGTTAGGTAAACTGGGTTATGCAGCCGTAATGAACAATCCCCAATTCTCGGTGGCTTCACACAACACGAGTTTATTTCCTGCTCACCCTACAAGTCAGCAACACAAGGCTGTCTGCTCATTAGAGCCACTCAGGTCTGGTAGGAGCTTCATCTCTGTGCACACTTCCACCATCCACACAGCAGAAAAGGGACTCTGCCTTGAGGACGGGCACCCTAAGTGCCACGTGCCACCTTCACTCATGCATCTTTGAGCAAAGCAAGGCACAGTGCTACCCCTGACGTCAAGGAACATGGAGACCTGGGACTACCTGGTGACCGTACTGATAACCTTCCCACCAAGCTGTGAGAAGGGGCACCAACTCCCTTCTCCCTTCCCCGAAAGGTGTGTAGTCGGCCCACCGTGGACGACGCTCAGGTGGCTGATTTCTCTTCCTAGCCCTATTGATCTTCCCTTTTGGTTTATTCGCCACTAAAAGGAAACAGAGAGATTGATTCTGTCTAAACCAGCCCTTTCTTTATCAATGGCTCTGCAGAGCCATGGGGCTTTTCAAGATCTCTGGGAAGCTTGCCGCATTTTCTATCATTTAGCCCCGCCGCCTGAAGCTGCAACAGATTTCGGGTCATCTCGGAAGTCGGTGTCAACAGAAAACCTTCCTGGTCCCGACTGGACCTGAATATTTAAGATTTAGAAAGCTCGGCTTGGACCAGATTCAATTTCAAAAGGAGAAGGGGGTTGCTTTTGAACTTCAAGAAGGAGGGTGAAGGCACAGCAGGCGCTGCGCTAGCAAAGGGAAAAAGCGAAAAGCCCTGTAGTCTTGAGAGAAACGGTCCAAAACGGAAACACTAAAGCTTCCAGTTGGTGAGCCTTAAATCAGACTTCAAAAGGCCTGCTAGTTTAAATATTGTTTATAGGACTGAAGGACTGCGGCTCCTTCCTCTGGCTGGATTTTAAATATTCCCTAATTTGATTACTCGGGGGAGAGGCTGGCGGAACCAACGTTAAATGAGCTCCAGTGTTAATTATTCAGAGGGCTCTTTATTGTGTAATCAAACATAAAGTCGGAACAAAAAGCTTGGAGGCACATTCTCACCCCGCCCTCCCCAGGTCCCCTTGCACGCTAGTGTTTGGGTGCATTCTTTTTTGCATCGTAGCTGTGAGCTGGGAGGTGGCACTCAGCAAGGCTCTGCCAGAGAAGGATGCACACCCCCTCCCCGTCTGGTCTGGCGAGGGCCTCTGATTCTGCTACCCAGACCCCCGTGCCAGGAGAAACCAGTCTCAGGTGGGGTGGATCTTGGTCACTTTTGCTTCCTCTATCCGAGCATCCTGCCCACCACCGGCACTCTGCTGCCCCTGCTGACTAGCCCGCAGTCAGTGCTTCCCCACATCAAACCAGTCTGGCCATCTCATCCCCTCAAGTCCCTTGTGTTTGCTAGGTGACTGCCAGGCAAATGATCAAAAAGATCTCAGCCAACCAAAGTCGGCAGAGAAAAAGGGAATAAAGAAAGAGACGGCTGGGTGGGTGGGAGGATGGACAGATGCAAGGGAGAAAGGAGATCCATCAAGCCACAGGCAGGTAGGGGCAGCTGCAAAACCTCCCTCAGAGTCTTCCTGCTTGCTCATCCAACACCGAATAGCCACAGGCGCAAAACCCAAAAGCTCTGAAAACTCAGTTTCTCCAACTCGTTCGGCATCAAAATCTGAGATGAACCCAGTGGAGCTGAGGGTAAAATTTGACTTGGAGCAAATATATAGCCTTTATTTATCGCCCCTGGTGTGAATGTTGGCACGGACCACTGCAGAAACACGGACCCGTCAGACCACAGCCTGCTGCCACAGACCCCACCGGGGAGATGACGTCAGCATGTGACACAGGCAGCACAGTTCCTGCCCCAGACGCCAACACTCTGGTTACTCATCTGGTCCCACGGGTTTCAGACATGTGGGCACGTCACCAGCAGGGCTGACTGGGCCCGCGGTCTCATATCCAGAAAATGCCCAACCCAGGAGGCAAGGATCCAGGTTTTGTGGGAGGGACCCTTTAAGAAACAGAATACAGGGCTACAATACAAAGTTAGGGACAGGGCCCTGGAGAGCCCCCTGCAGGCCAGGGTCACTTGACTCACTGCAAACATGCATCATGGTAAGAGTGATGATATAAGCCCCGCCCCCTCGAGTTTGTTTTCTCATCTGGAAAAAGGGTGATAGTGACTCCATCACCAGGCTCTGTTGCGATGATGTAGTGAGAAGGCACAGACGTGTCCTGCATGTGACATCGTGCAGAACTTTTGCTCAGTAAACTCCGAACCAGTGATTTTCAGTGTGCAGCCCGCCGGCCAGCTCCTCCCAGCCCCACCCAGTTATCTCTGTGTCACACAGACATGTCCCTGAGCTGGGGAGGGGTGGGGGTGGGGCGGGCGGAGGAGACCCTCAGTCCTTACAGCAGGCAGAGATTCAGAAACGAACAGGCTTTTCCATTCACCCCCTGGAGCAAGTGCAGACCTGCCCTGGCCTGAACCGGAAATGCACACGTCTGTGGAACGCACACTAATGTATTCCACCTCCTCAGCCCCGCCCGGCAGGCGGTGGTCTCTCCTCACCTCGGTTTTCACTCCCAAGACCTAGCCATGGAGAACTGTCCCTCTCACTCCTTCATGAGTATAGGACGGGGGGAAAAAAAACGTTGTAACAGACCGGCCACCATCCATCGTCTATTTACTGCATTTCTTAAAAGGTCTTGTAATAAACCGAGACTCTGGAAACAGAAAACTCATTAAGCTCTTTCTCACTCAGGGACCCAGGTGGAAGCAAGAGCACGATAAAAAAAATCAATAAGGACAAGTCTACAGGACAGAGGTGGGAGCAGTTCATCACGGTGCCGAAGGTAACGTGGCCGGCCCGGCCCCAGCCTGCGCTGAAGGCGTGGCTGCCAGTCTTTTCTCACAAGGGATTTTTGCTTCTTCTAGTTGGTTCCCTGGGTGAGGGAACGTCAGAGCCACATGCTCTTGGATGGTTATCTGGGGACTGTAGGAGACATGGCATTTGGCTGGACACCGCTTCCCAGCGCAGCAAAGGGGAGGGGAGGCTGAGGTGCTGCCTGGGAGGATGTCACCAGAAGGAAGTGGCCTCACCTCACTCTATTTTAATCAATAACAGTCATTTCTCTCTCTTTCTCTCCTTCCTCTTCCCACCCCTTTCTCTGTGTCTCTCCCTCTCTCAAACAGCCGGAAAATAAGTGTGAGTAATTCAACACAGGGCTTTCTACAAACTAGAACACGTTTTTATTAAGAGAATATTAACAGGTCTATTTGCTTTATCCAGAACTATTCCTAACCCCCAAATCCCCCCAAATTCATCTACTCAACAAAGCAGCACAATGATAATAATGGCAGGTGATACTCTGACACGTGAAGGTAGTCCAGAGACATACCACTGGAGTGTTTGCTGAACTTTTACCCCCTTATCCACAAAATGGGTACAAGGCTTGTCCCTGCTCACCTCACATCAGTACATGGTCCCAGGAACTGATATGCAGGTTCACCTTGAACCTGTTAAAGTGATGAGCATTACTATGGTTATGTAATCTTTATAAGCTACTTTCTAACATAATTGCAATGGACCTGCTTCTGTGCTAAGCAACCTACTTTGTCCTCTTAGTAATCCCATGAGGTGCTATTCTTACCCCAGATGGGAGAGGAGAGGAGGAAACTGGAGCTCAGAGAGGTTAAGTGACTTGCACGAGGTCACGCAGAGGGTCACGGCAGAGCCAAGACTTAATCCTGGCCTGTTTCTTAAACACTGTTTACGAAAACACCAAGTCTTCGAATGCATGTTCCCTATGGTGGCACAATTATAATTGCCCCTCATGAAGAGTTTCAGCGTTCTCTTGCTTTTTCATCAGGCTCACAGCTCACAACTCTGAGAAGAGCGAGCATGGGTTTTAACACAGAAAGTTGCTATGGAGATATCATCTGCATCCATCTCCAGAGATGCACAGGAAAAAAGCAGCAGGAGCCACAAACCTCCAAAGAAATGTCCTTCAGGAATATATACAACAAAAATTGGAGGAGGCGAGCATGAGTCACTGTACTTGAACTCTCACATAATTGCATTCCCCGGGGCAAGCTTGGGGGCCAAACTCTGGGCTGCAACGTGGTCCACTCTGAGGATGGAGTAGCACTAAATTAGGAGTCGGGAGACCAAGCTCAGCCACCGTGACTCAGTCCACTGTCTGGCATTGGACAAATCCTTTCCTCTCTCCTGACCTTTCATCATCTGAGTGTCTCCATGTGTAAAGTGAGCCCTGTGTAAGGCAGGCCCTAATCAACTCACACGGCAAGAAAGAATCTTCTGTATGTGTAGAGCCTGATGGCGATGCCTAGGCAGTGTTCATAAGAGCCTGGCAAACTGAATAAATTTTAAAAATCAGGCTGAGTAAGGCAATAGGGTTTAGTGAGGTCTGCGGCAAACAGGAGTACTCTGCCACAGCTAAAGGGAAAGAACCTCTGCTCAGCATTAGCTCATTCTGCCATCTGAGAATGGGAGCCCAGGACTTATCATTTCCTTCTTGATTTTTACTCCTCACTGAGGACATTTTTTTCATTGCTTTGAGAAAAAAAGAAACATGGATGTGAGAGAGAAACATCAATTGGTTGCCTCCTGGGTGCACCCAGATCAGAGATCATCTGTGCCTGGACCTGAGATCAAACCCACAACCCAAGCATGGGCCAGGCCCAGGATTTGATCCCACGACCCTTTAGTTACGGAAGAACGATGTTCCAACCAACTGAGCCATGTCAGCCAGGATTTATTGTCTTCAAGAAAGAGAGCGATAGCCTGTTTCCATATAAAAATCTCCTCAATTTGTAAAACCCTGGGCAGCTAACCATGTTTCCCTGTGGCCACCAGGTTGGGACCCCCACTTCTCAGATAGTATAAGGAAATGCTGCAGGCCCTATGGCATCTGGTTAACGCCTCTCAAATAAAATACCAAAAAAATAGAGAAGAAGCATTGGGGATTTAAGTCAATTCAGAGTCAGTTCAATAAAGGGCAGGGTGAGGCTGAACTGCCTGTCATGTGCTCTCTCCCACATTTTACTTTGCTTGCCATTCAATTAATCAGAAGTGTTGGCCCTCTGCTTTGGACTTCCTGGCTGATGTGGTTAATTGAATTTTAATTAGCAGCCATTTCAGAAGCACAAAATGAAGTCCTAGCCCAAGGCAGACATGCACTGGACTTTCTCTGGATGTGAAAGGCTCTTCTCAGACCATCCCGGTGCCTCCATCTTTGTTTTATAGATGAAGAAACTGAGGCAAGGCTGAGTGACTTGCCCCAGGGGCCCCCTGAGGTCCCCCGGCTCTGAGTCCGCAACTCATGGCAAGACTCCAGGCTGCCCACGTGACACAATCTGTCTAGATGTCAAAAAACGACGTTGATCTAAAAGCATCTGGTTTCCAGAGTTGGGAATTTGCAGTGTGCTGGATGTCGCGGGAAGAGGCAACTTCTACGTGCATTGTCCTTGAACTTGGATGTCATCGCTCCCAGAACGATAGGGAGCAGAGGGGCTTCCCGTCAGCCTAGCAAGCTCTTAACCAATATCAGGACAAAAGGGACACTGTGTCAAGCTCCCAATTTATCTAAGGAGAGAACATGCCAACTTTGGCTTTTTGTCGCAGCCATTTTGAAACCCACACACCCCCTTGAAGATCCGGTTGAGCCCAGATCCTGTCTGTCACATTCTGAAGCATTCCATCATTGGTGCAGGGGTTCCCTGCCAATTGTGCAGGGCCGGGAGGGAGCCCAGGAGAGACCACACCTTGAGCCTGACTGCCCTCTCCATCCCTCTTCCTTCACTTCCCACTTCCCCTGTGCAGCCAAGCAATCCCTCCCCTCTTCTCATGCTGGGAAGTTCCGCCCACATTCAGGGCCCCACAAGGCAGCCGATCAAAAAAATTGCTTCTGGTCCATACAGTGGATTCCCCCAAATGACTCCTGCTGGAAACCATTCTCTCTGCTCTGTTCGATATTTATTCAGGGCTGGTGTGGCTGCAACATCACCCTACCTTCTCTTCCCAAGGGTATCAAATGCCATGCGTTCCATGACAAGACCTCTGTCTGCCCTGCAAGGGCTTCTCCTTTTCAATGTTCTCAGACAAAGTCGTTTCTACTAATCAAGGGTAAAGTGTGGCCCAGGCCCCCACTGAGCGCTTCCTCCGAAGAGCTGAAGGCCCACTCTTGCCCACAGCAAAGCCGGTGTTCTAAGGGCCGTAAAGAATCGCCAGCATGAGAACGGGGACCTTTTTAGTGCCACCTAAAAAGGCTTTTAAAGTATTTTTAAGCCAGGAATAATGGTTAGCCTTGGCATTAGACTGACCTGGGTTTGAATCCTGGCTGTGCTGCTCGCTAGCTGTGTGATCTTGGGCAGGTTAGGAAGCCTCTCTGAGACCTGGACCATGAGTTAAATGAGGACCTGACTTCACACAGCATGCTCTGAAGTGACCCAGAGAGCGTGCATGCACACAAACACAGAAACACAGATGCATGCAAAAACACAGAAACATACACAAGTACCAATGCACACAAAAATGTGCACACAGACACAACATAAACACAGGTGTGCGCACACTCATTGCACACACATGGAACCAGCCCTCTCTGACTCCTTTCCTCCCGAAAATCCACATCCCCCTCACGGGACCTTCCCTGCCTACCCAGAGCTTCTAGGACTTGTCAGTCCCCCACAACCTTCCTGCCCGTCACAACCACAGGTCTGCCCCCCAACAGTGCCACCACATCAGGCAAATCTGCTCCCCGCTACTCCAGCTCACAAATGCCAGGCTTAGAATTTCCTCCATCTTGTGTTCTTTGGAAAAACCAAATTAATACAAATCTTCATTCCTGAGGCCCAGGCATCAACTTGGGTGAACAAGACGTTGACACACGCAATGTGAGGTCAAAGCCAACAGGTGGAAATTAGACCCACCCTCTCCCACAGGTTAAAATCAATTCTGGTGAATATTACAAGAGAGAAGTCAAAGACTGCTCCCAGCTGCGGCAACATCCCCGGGGTGCATGTCAGCTTCCCGTGACGACCGCTGCGGCAACCACAGAGCTCAGTGAATAGAATACGCCTCGTTACCCATTTTTACATTTTCTCAGTTTGCGACAGAAGGTCACTGCAGACTGATAATAACTCAGTGTTTGGAAAGAGCCAAAAAGAATTCACCTTCAGAGCCAGGCTTCACCATTTCCTTCCTTCCCTTCTCTCTTCTCTCCTCTCCTCTTCCTCCCTCCCTTCTTTCCACCTCCCTCTCTCCTTCTCTCCCTCCTCATTTCTTCTGTCCTTCCTTCCTTCTAAAACCCCTCTTTCTCCTCTCCTTCCTTCAGGCCAAGAAGTTCAAAATCCCTCCACTCCGCATGAGCCGCAAACCTAGCCGGCGAGGTTCCACGCTCAGTCTGTCTCGGGCTAGTGGGGGCTCCTCCCCCCAGAGCAGCGTGATCTCTGTGAACCCTGGCTCAGAGGAGCTCGCTAACATGGCCATCCTGGGGACAGGCAGCAAGGACGAGGACAACGACTCATCTTCAACCAAGCCAGAAGAAGAACCTCTCCACATCAGTAAGTCCTGCCTGAGATCACGCCCGTCTGCCCTGAGACTGCCCTGCTTCAAGGCAAAGGCCTTGAAGCCAGATATCAAGAATGCCCCCTGCTCCACTTCTGCCCCCACTCAACTAAAGGAGACACGGGGGGTCCCTTCGTCCTGTTCTATCTCCGTGGACCCTCTGCTTTACTCCAGGGGAGATGAGAAATACACCCTGTAACCTGAGCTACTCAGAGCTATTTCTCCTTGGGAGACAGCCAATGGCCATCAATTTCTCTGTTTCAAATGTTAATAATATATTTTATTTAGCCTAACTTATATAAAACGTTATCATTTCAACCTGTAATCAGGATGTAAGAATGATTAATGAGATAGTTTATATTTTGTCATAATAAGTTTTGAAATTCATTGTCTACCCTAACAGATTTTGAGGTGTAATGTATATACCATAAATTCACTCATTTGAGCATACAATTCAATGACTTTAAGTAAATTTACAGAGTTGGGGGAACCGTAATCTAATTTTAGAACATTCCAACCAACCCTAAAAATACCTCCCATTCACTGGCAGCCCCCCTCCTTGCCCACCCCAGCCCCGTAATCACAAAGCTTTCTGTCTCTAAGGATTTACCTCTTCTGAACATTTCATGTATGGAATTCATGATTCCCATCCTGGAACACATTGACCTTTGGTGGTTCACGTATTTGGAGACACAGCTTCTTTAGAAAAATCTGTTGAATGCAATAGGCTCTCTCCCCAGACAAGAAATGAAAACATACACAAATACACAGTTTCACATATTCCTTCAGGGGGAGCCGGTGGCCCCCCACCCAGTGGAATTGTGAGCGGGCTGGCTCCCTAGGTCATGTGAAAAGTTCATTCTCAGAACTTTCCAGCTTGAGCTTCAAGGAGATAGGAAAGTGAAGAGAAGGATTTATACAGAATGAGGAAGGAGGAAGAAAGAAAATGGGATGAGCTGACAAGGGTTGAGTGTAGTATAGGTTCAAGGAGGTGGGGCGAGAGGTCAAGGTCGACCAGAAAGCCTGACTGGGGCCACCAAAGCCAGAAATGGGTGAAAGTGTAAAATTCCAGTCCATGGTCGGGACTCAGAGTAATGACTGCTGGGGACAAAAAAATCCCAACATCTCCCTTGTTGACCGGGGAATTAAAAAGTCCCAAGCCCTGAAAAGCTGTTTACTGAACGGGGAGTACTGTCTGAGATGGAGAGGAACTAAGAGAAGCCATCAGCAGATGTGTGACTCGTAAGGCTGTCTTGAACCTTCTTCCATCCTGCAGGTGTCTGCTGACCAGCTACCGAGGGCCTGCAACTGAGAGTGACAGTATCTGCCCTCCCTAAGCTTACATTCTGGGGGGGGAGCAGACAATAAATATGAAAATCATAAACAGTAAGATAATTGCCTATAAGACATGATCGAAAATAACCATAAAACAAGATGCTGGGCTGGAGAGAGAGACTATGGGTGGGGATGGGGCCACTTTATTAGCCAGGGTGGCCGACGAGGGCCTCCCTCACCCTTGACATTCAAGCTTTGACCTGAAGAGATGAAGTCAGGGAGGGAGGGAGGCAGGGGTTCACGGTCCTTGCAGGGCAAGGTAAGGATTTTGGACCTGTTCCAAGGGCAACAGGAAGTCTCTGGGAGGTTTCGGTACAGGAGTAACAGGACCTGATTTTCTTGTCACAAGTATCTGACTCGTTATTAATGTTACATTCATGCTGTGTGTGTTTTTACTCTAGAAGCCTTGTTCTCAGATAAGAACAGAGGAGTGTCTCCGGCTTCCAGACTCAGCCCCTGTCCCAGGAATTCTGTGTGGTTCTCCCAGGGGCAGCCAGCATACTGCAGGGGGCAGTGGGGAGAGGCGCCTTTGCAGTGAGGGGAGGGGTGGCTGCTGCCACCTCTCCAGGCACCAGAGACAGGGCACACCCTTTCCCAATGGCCACTTCCCCCCACACATAACCAACCACCTGCTCCAATCGGTGTCATCTCCCAGATATGAAGTCCTCACAGTATTCACTTAGTCCTCGTGTTCAGTCCTCCATAAATCCTCAACAACTTTTTTAAGCTATTTTGCGGATGAGGAAATTGGGGCACAGAGGCAGAACTGGAAACCAGTCAATCTGACCTCGAGTCACATTTAATCTCTCTTCTTGCCCCCAAGTGTCTAAAAAAAGCCGAGGGAAAAGACCAGGCGAGCAGCCTGATTTCTCCTGCAGCAGCCTATGCCACTCACTTCCGCTACCTGACCCCACGGGGCCCTGGTCCAGGTTTGCATCACTTCTCGCCTGGATGAGAGCAGTAGCCTCCTAATTACTCTCCTCGCTTCTGTCTTGCCCTCATTTTCTCACCAATTCTTCTCCACGTTGAGCCAGAGGAGACTTTCTAAATTAAAAAGCTGATGCAGTGCTCCCTAGCTGGACATCTTTCAATGACTCCCCATTGCCCCTAAGATATTGCGTCTGACCTTGTCCCCAGTTGGCTCAGCTCTTGCTACTTCATACCTTATACCAGGCACTCTAACCTCACCAAAATACTTTCTTCTTAAATAACGTACGTTCTTTTGTGCCGGGCTCTGTCTGCAATGTGCCCTTTTATCTCTGACCCTTCAGTTTGGTGGACTCCTACTCAACCTTCAAGACCCAACTCAAATATTCCCTTCCCTGCGAAGTCTCCCCTGACTCTCCCAGGTTCCCTCCTCTCAATTCTCTTCGTATGACATCGTTGCTCTTATTGAGTACCTAATATTAATTTGCAACTGCCTCATACTGTATTGGGTAGGAATTTCTGTTGGCTAGGTACAGAGATCTAAAAAATAATGGTGTAAATAGGATACAGGTTTATTTTTCTTATAGATTAAAGAAGACCAGTCCATGGCTGGTGGAGTATCAGAGATCCTACTCCCTTCTCTGTCTTGCTTTTCTACCATGCTCAGAAGTACTTCATGATCCAAAATGGCTGCTGGAATACCAGTCATCACAGCCACATTCCCCAGCCTGGAAGCAGAAGGGACTAGGCCAAGTACAAAAGCTCCCACTCGAAGCTGAGTTTAAGCAGCCTTTTCAGAAGCTCCACACAGCAGCACTTCTGTTAACATCTCACTGCCCAGAATTTAGTCACAGAGCCATGCCTAGCTACAACGGGTACTGGGAAAAACTGGGCTAGTCCGTGCTTCCCCTCCCCAACACACAAAAAAGTACATGCACCTATGGAGACAGACAGACAGATACACTGTTTGTTTGTTTGTGTGTTCATTTTCTTTACTAAGGAAGAGAGGGAAAAGGAAGGTGAGCTCTCCCCAGGTGGGAGCAATGCCTCCCTCACCTGCAGCCTGGCACACAGCTGAGGCACAATGATGACCAGGAGCTGCGTTCCCACCAGAGAGGAAGTCTTCCTGCTCCTGCCTCCTCGCCATCTTCCTCCATCTCTACTTTAACCTCCATCCCATGTCACAGCTTTGACAAAAGTAGATTAATTCCTCAGACTCTCATTGCCTCCTAAAACCTCCTCAGATTAATTCTGAATTCATGAATCCTATTCTGAGGAGACTCACTGTTTGACCAAGGTTTAATTTTCAGGGCTGGGTGCATAATGAAGTCTTAGTCAATGCAAATCAGTGGACTGATCCCCTCCCCAAATCAATGGGGGGGGGGGGGTTGGATTCCCAAGGAACCAATGCTCCAGCAAATCCTTCTGCAAACCTTGAGGCCCCCAGCTTTGGAACCATCAGAGGAGAAACTTGAAAAGCAACTCAAAAAGAGTTGGCCGGGCCTGGCCGGGTGGCTGCATGGTTGGAGCATCGTCCCCTGCACCAAAGGGTTGTGGGTTTGATCCTCCATCTGAGCACATACAAGAGGCAACCAATCGATGTCTTTCTCACATCAGTGTCTCTCTCCCTCCCCTTCCTCTCTGTATAAAATCAACAAATATATCCCCAGGTGAGGATTCAAAAAATCGGGGCCCTATGCTATCTAACATTCCCCCCTCAAACCAACCCCATACAATAAAAAGGTCTCCTTTATTTCCCCCCCAGAGAGAGAAAGAAATGGGTTTAGTCACTTAAGAACCAGATTCCTGGACAGGCTGGAGGTGGAAGACGGAGGGAGGAAATCAGAATATTTCCTTCGGAGACAGAATTTGGTATTTGAAAACCCAGGGTGTGCCCGTTGCTGAGAAATGGGTCATGGCATCCCATAGCCCCGGGAACCAAGGACCGAGCAGGCTCCTGCAATGCGGGCGTCCGCCCCAGGCCCATCTTCCTCAGGGGACCTGTATGTCGTGGCACCGGCACCCTTTCAAACGAGCCTCTTCCCCCAGGTAGCCCTGAGGAGTGAACGGGCCTCACAGCCTCACAGCTTTGTTCTACTTCACACCTGGGCAACCTCGGCTACATGATGGACGGAGGTTAATACTGGGGGGCACCCTTCCTGCCCAGAGGCATTAGTGGTCGGCAGAGAAAAAAACTGTGGTGTATTAAGTGACATGTGGAGCTTTAGCCATGATTTCCTCGGAGGGCTGCCCAACACACCAGGTCACCGGGCTCATTTGCTGGGACCCAGGCCGCCCCAGGCTGGTGGGGAGAAGGCGGATACTGCCGCGTGGTGTCCAGGAGCCAGGAGGAGAGTGGAGTCACCAGCCACAGATCTCTCATTAACAGGCCTCTGGACACAGCCCCAATTCCGGGATATGCAGCAGTAGGAGAGGTGGGCATGACAAAAGAGTGAAGGTCAGATCCAGGTCAAATGGAATCCTGACCGCAAATGCCTAGGAAAATAAACTACTTGAGAATAAGGACCATGGAGCAGGAACAGCCCCGTGTTGGTGGTTCTCACAGCCTACAAGGCTGCAAGCTCACCAAGGGGAGCGCCCTTCCCCTTGTGGGCCACACCCACACCGGGCTGGGCACGGCAGGCCGGGGCGAGCACTGGGCTTCACCCATGGCACGGAGACCTGAGCTGGAGCTGACCGCTGACCACAGGCACCTGCGAGAGGGCGAAGGTGGCTCCGCGGGCACTGCCCTCCTTGGTCGACATCCCAAACCTAACTCACAGTTGGCCGAATCCTCCCCTCGATCTTCTCCCGAGTCATCCACGCACTGGCACAGCAAACACCGAGCCTCCCACACCGAGAACACAGGGCCAGAAACGCACACGTCTCTCAAACCAAACACTTAGAATGTCCTCCCTCCCACCTTTCCAACCCAGGACAGAAATGTTTCTAAGAGCAATAATACTAAGCATGAAATAAAAGTCAATGAATGGCATGAGGAGTGAGGGGCGCCATGAACCTGGGGGCCTGGCTGAAGGCCCCGGCCAGCGTGGGGCAGGGTCCAGATCCATCTCAGGTCCTTTTGCAGGGAAGCTGCAGGTCTGGATTTTTTTTTTTACGTGAAGGCTTCCAGTTTTAAAAAGTTGGCCTCTCCATCAAATCAAACGAAACCTCTCTGTGAGCGAGATTCATCCTGGAGGAGACCAGCTTGGAACTTTCGGTCCATGGGATCAGAGATGGTTTCCTGGACAAGCTGATTTCTTCTTAGAATTGGAAACGGTTTTCTCTGGCTAGAGTAGACGTTGAGGTTGCGGGGTGGATGTGAGATGAGACAGGAGAGAGGAAGAGCAGACAGACCCTGCTCCGAGGCTCAGCGGCCACACGGAGAGAGGTAGAGGTTGCCCGGGAGGAAAAGGGAGAGACGTTGGAGGGTTTTCAGCAGGTGAGTGGCAGGGTCAGAGTCACACCCTGCGGCCGCCTCTCCTGGCCCCATCCCTCAGAGGCAGAGGCGATGTTAGGCTGGGGGCCGGGCCCTGTGCTGCACCATCCTGTCTCGAGTGAGCCCTCCAGACCGTGACCTTCTGTGTTCCCATCAGATCTTCAGAAGCTCCTGGAGATGGTTGGGGAAGACGCCCGGAGGACGGTCACGATGGAGAACGAGATGCGAAAAACAGCGCCCAGGTACGTGCTCTTGACTCCGGGGGCAAAGGAAGGGCAGCAGCCTGATACAGGAGCGTCAGCCACAGCAGGTCCCGGTTACTGAGCGTTTTCTCTGCAACAAGCACCGGGCCAGGCCCTTTTTCACAGGCACCATCTCCCAGGGTTCCTGCCACCACCCTACGGACAAGGCAGGCACTATCATCTTTGTTTGACACATAAGGAAATAAGGCTCAGAGAGGCAAAGTAACTGGTTGGAGGTCACCCAGCTAAAGAATGAAGCACTACAACTTGAATCCAGATCTTTCTAACTCCAAAAACCATTCTCCACTGGGCTATCCGTTCATTCTGTTGGAGAATGTTGATAGGTATGTGCAGGTAGGTACCCACAGCAGAGGGAAGTGTCCTGCAGGGAAGCTCGGCCCCGTGAGAGGAAATAACACAGCATCCGATCTCGTCTGGGAGGGGCGTGGGGATCAGAGAAGGCTCCTCCGAGGAAGAAACATTCAGCTGAGATTTTGAAAGAGGCACGAAAAGGAGCCAGCCAGCCAAAGCTGGGTGGGAGGGGGGCGGGGAGAGCATCACAGGCAACACACATGCCTATGAAAACATGGTTCAAAGGGACCATGGCCCCTTCGAAGAGCTGGAATGCAGCCAAAGTGGATGGGAAGAGGCAAGAGTCCATCTGGGACCTTGGAGGCCACCTCAAGGATTCTTGTGTCTGTCCTAAGAGCAACAAGAATGCTCTGAAGTTTCAAGCCGGCAATTGATGCAATTGGCTGAGTGTAAGACTTGAACGTGAAGTGTCTTCCTGTGGGTGGGAAGCCCTGTCCACGGAGCTTCTGAAAACCACGGACAGCACATAGGCGAGGGCCCCAGCCCCCTTCCCGAGTGCGGGCTCCTCTGAATAAGCAGATTACTTCCTGGACATAAAGGAGGCACTAGAAGAGGTTCATCATTGCCTTCAGCCTACTGAGATGCCAGCCGTAACTTACTGGTTATTGTTATTACCATAATTACAGTTCACCAAGCACTTTCACCTCCGCTTGGGATGACGGATTTGTCTGCTGCTGCTTCGACTCAAACTGGGGCTCCAAAGGGTGGCCCTCGCAGGCACTCAGAGACGGTGTCGGCCCCCCCGTGAGGCCCTGACCGCTGTGCCTGAGTCGCCAGCATCAGAGACGGGCAGTAATGATGAAGAGAGCTCACCAAGTCCCCTCCCTTTGTAAGAACTCACCGCGTGACACTGGGTTCAACACCTGATGCTCCTGAGCAAGTCCCCCAGCCCTTCTCTAAAACTCAGTTTCCTCTCCTACAGAATGAGACTGGGCGGCATCAAAGCATGGGCCTTGGGACCAAACAGACAAGCATCAACCTCCATTCTCACCATCTCATTGCTCTGTGATGTGGGGCAGGTAGCCAAACCTCTCTGAGCCTGGTTCCGATTCTATAAAATGAGGCTTATTAGCCACCTAGTGAGAACTGCAGTGAGAATTAAATGATGCCATCCTGGCAAAGTATTATGGTTATTGTTACGGAAAAAAAATGTCTCCTCCAGTGAGTTGTCCGAAGCATGCGGTGAGGTACAGTGCATTCCGAATGCCTGGCGTCTCAAGAGCACCCAGCGGTGGCCATGGCGGCAGCGATGGCCGCTGCTCCCATGTCCCACAGTGTCCCACCAAGTCTCCACAGCACCCTGAGGACACAGGCTTCCTACCCACCCCCACCACCCCACCTCATCGGCGTAGAAGAGCTGTGATGAGTGACTTGCATGAGGTCGTGCAAGACCGGACCACACAAGGGCCTGGTCCTTGCAAACCTCACCACTTGCATGACCTCTGCGGTTACAGAGCAAGAGGAACCTGTTGGAATGTCCCATCTTCCCCATTGCCTCGGGGGGAGGAATATCTCCCTAATCCCTCACTAAAGCAGCAGGGATCCATGGCTTCTCTGCCCAGCTGCGGGGGGACGGGCAAGGCTGCAGACTTCTCCTGCCCCCCTCACTTTAGAATCCGGTTGGTTCCCTTCCCATTTCAGATGTCAGACCTGCCCCCGTCGAGGCTGGCAGAGAGCTCCCGGTTTCAGCGACCCTTAAAAGCCAACCTACCCAGTCCCCAGCCTCTGTCATCTTAGTCCGTTCGGGCCACTAGAACAGAATACCATAACCCAGGTGGTTTATTCAGAACAGGCATTTCTACCTCACAGTTCTGGAGGTGGGAAGTCCAAGATCAAGGTGCTGGCAGGTTTGGTGTCCAGTACGGACCCGCTGCCTTCTCACGGTAATGTCACACGGTGGAAGGGACAAGCTAGCTCCTAGGGGTCTCTTCAGAAGGACACTGATCCCATTCATGAGGGCACCACCTCTTGATCTGATTACCCCCAAAGGCCCTGCACCTGACCATCACCTTGTGTGGTTCGGATTTCAATGTACAGATTTGGAGGGACGCGGACATTCAGACCATAATGTGGTCTAGGAAGATGGCCTCTTCCTGAATTCCTCTAGCGGTGTTTGCCAAAGGTCCCCCCTGCCCGTCAGGGTCAGCTGGGGTGCTCGTGAAAAATGCAGACTTCTAGTCTCCCTCCCAGACTCACTGAATCAGAATCTCCAGAGGAAATCATATTTGCAAACAAGCTCTTCCAGTGGCCAGCACTTCACAACACGCTGAGAAATGCTATGGTGTCAACGTGTGCTTTCTGCACACACACTTTAGAAGTGTGTGTGTGTGTGTGTGTGTGTGTGTGTGTGTGTGGCTTTAAATGCAGCTTCGGGAGCAGGGCTCCACTCCAGGCCTCAGGTATCCAGACCTCTGAAAGGGTGGCCCAGTGATTCTCATCCCGACAGAGTCTGAGGAGCCCTGCTCTAGAGAGAGAAGTCTTTGAGCTCCCCCAGGTAATGACCGCCTCAGGAGCACAGTAGGTTCGGTGCCTGGCTAAGAGACTCGTCTCGTTCTTTGCAGCACCTTGTCTACAATGAGACGAAAGAGCGATTCTGTCTATAAAGACATGCAGACCACCCGCAAGTCAAGGTAAGGAGGCCTGGGGCCCACAGCAGGTGGGGCGGGGGGCACCCCACAGTTCCAGGGGTCCGCTGTACAAAGGCTCCCCACCAGACCGTGGAAAGCGGGGCACTGGAGGGGCAACGTCTTTCTTCTTCAATAGAAATAAGCCCCTTAACTCTCAAGGCTCGGGGGTGAATACCTAGGCATTTCTCCCCGGCACCGTATACCAGCCACAGAACTGGCACCCTCCAGCATCGGGGGGAGGGTGAAGCGGGGAGGACTTGGCACCGACCAGGCTTCCGCTCTTTACTGCGGAGGGGAGGTCTGTCCCCATTCCATTCATTCATCTTGTGGACACTCACTGAGCCCCCGGGTGCCCGGAACTGAGCTAGGTTTTTGGGGGATTACTCAGCAGGTAAGACAGTTGTTGTCTACCCTCATGAAGCTCCCTGTCTGCACTGCGGCCCCCACTTTTCTCATGCCATAAATCCTGTGATGGTCTGAGGAAACCCATATGAACCCTTTCGGAAGAAAAAAAATAAAGCTTTTAAATGAATACCATAAAACACCAAGGTTTACGAAGGAATCTATCGTAAGATAAACTGCGATATCACAACCACGTTTGGGGTGTAGTAACCTGTGAGCTTCTTCAACGAGCGCATATATAACGAGACTCGGCAGCAGCTCCAGAAACGACTGTGAATTTGGATTAGTGTCGAGAGTAAACGACTTTTCAAACTAGCTCCCACAATTGTAATGCGGTGTGCAAACACCTGTCTGTGATTCCCATTTCTGCTAACAGCTGGTGAAGATAAAGGTGCGACTTTCTTCCCACCTGCATTCGTGGACTCCAGGAATCCTGCCCAGGGTTAAGAATCGCTGGTCTAATGAGGCTGACATGCATTTATCAAAGAACCCCCAGAATGGGGCCTGTAACCGTGGCTCTGGAAAGTGTTCTGAAGGGGAAGCGTGGAAAGTTGGGGGAATGTCCAGCACCGGGGTCCCAGCCAAGACTGTGTTTGACATTTAAGCTGAGACCAGGAATAAAAAAAGAATGGAATGGCCAGCAACTGGGGAAGGTGGAAATAGTGTTCCAAGCAGAGGAGACAGCATGTGCAAAGGGCCGGAGGCAGAACACAACCGGAGGCACTGAGCAAAGACCAGTGTGGCTGGAACTCAGTGAGAGGCAAGGGAAGGAAGACAGAGAGGGGCAGAAGGATCTTTTCCACACTGGTCCTGGGAGGAGGTTAGTGTAGCTGTCACTCCTCCACCAACTCGGATCTTGGTGGTTTATATTTCTGTTTGTTTATCGCAGCTAATAACACTGCTTCCCTCACCTCCCGCCTCCTCCCTAGCCACACTGTCAGCTCCAGAAAAGAAGAAAGCCATTTACAAGAGGAAGGTCAAAGCCAACACACGTCCCCCCACACCAAGAACTCACGTGTAGGGTTGAGGCAGCTGGCTGGAATCCAACACAAGGCCTTCTGGGTGTCAGTACTGGGGCTCGGCCCGCCTGCTGAGTGGGATAAGCATTTGCTAGATCACCTGCCAGGCCTAGGACTCCGGCTCCAGTCCCATGAGCCTCTGGGAAAAGCAGAAAAGGCCAGGACCTTTCCTATGGGGAAGGGGTCGGGCATGACTCCTCAAAGAAGTCCAGATGTCACAAGGCCAAGAGGAAAGGGTTAGCCACCCATCACAGAGACAGGAAAAAGTCTTACCTTCTAGAACCACACCGATCAAGTCAGGTTTCGAGGCGTTTGGAAGAAACAGAGGATGTGGGGATACGGACGGTGCTGACCTGGGGTGCAACTGGGAGGAGGCACAGAGCAGCGGCGGGCGGCGCAGGGGAGCTGCTGTCACTCGCCCAGAAACCCCGAGTCACAGGAAGCAGCAGCCACGCAGGGATTCAATCAGCACCCACGGAAGAAAAGGTCAAGTGGTGTGAGGAGCTGATCGGGCTCAGGGGAGGAAGCTGACCATCCACAGCAGAGTTCCTTGCCTACAGACCAGGGCTACGCTCTGCATCCAGCTCTGTCTGCCTCCAAAGTCCAGTGAAATGGGTGTTCGGCTCAAGGGTCCAACACAGAGAAGAGAACCCTTAGAGGAAGAAGCAGTCTGGGGCCAGGACACCCAAGACAACACGCCTGGGAGGACTCGACCAGCCCTTCGCCAAAGCTGCCCTCGGCCCCAGGCGAAGTGCGAATGGGCACAGGTAAGAGGGCAGGAGGGTCCGCAGTGAACTTATCCTCCAGGCAGAGACACCCATTTCATCCAAATGAAACTGCGATCCAGGAAATACGTCGTTCTGCCAATAAGGTCGAGGTCGGACCAGAAGAGCCAGAGCAAGCAGAACCTGCTGTAGACCCTGACACACAGCAGGATCTGTGTAGGGGAGAAGACACAAGGACTCTCCAGGCAGGGAGCACGGGAGGAGCAAAGGTGGAGAAGAGGCGGGAAGAGTACCCACAGAATTCTCTGACCAGCACCTAGACTGGAACTGCCTCCCTTGCCTGAATCCCGGAGGCTGGCAGGCGATGAGGAAACCTGGAGGCACCATTTGTGTGGAAAGCAGGCCCTAGGCTAATGGAACCCCCCCTTTGTGTTTCAGTGACCGATCCAGCAGTAAAAGTGCAGAAAGCCACAGCCAGCCCACTCAGAAGAAGTCCAAAGGGTAAGCCAAGTGGGCAGTGGAGGGAGGTGGCCGGGAGTGCCGGTGGCAACCGGAGCCTGCATCTTCCCTGGGTGGGAAACCACCCAGTGTGGGGCAGACTCCCCGAAGCCACAGGCCCTGCTGCAGGACGAGGGACTCCCGGGGCCAGGGCTCATGGTCAAGGTGACAAGCAACAACAAAGACAATGGCAACGACGTCTTCCTCTGTGCCACGCCCTGGGCAAAGCATCTCCTATTCCCTGCCCTCCTTCTCCCTCAAAGCGACCCTGTGGGGCGGCGGTACTGGTCCATTCTACAGAGAAGCAGCTTGCAACTCAGCCAGTGCCATGTCTCACCGGACCCGTGCAGCTAGGAAGTGTGGCCCTGGAGTTTGAACCTGAATCTCCCAGCTCCCAATGCCACCTTTATCTCATAGTCCCTAACATTGGCTGGGCTCAGGTGGCCAGGTGTCTCACCGTGGGCTCACTGAATAAGGCCTGCACAGCCAGCCTGATCTGGTTGGGAAGACCTGTCCTTCCTCCATCCAAGGGGGTTGCTGGGGGAGGCTCCGGGGCAGGGGGGATGGGGCGGAGAGCCCAGGGGGGCACAGGGAATCCCCACCGCGGAGCACGCTGGAGCCCAGAGAGGCCAGCCCCATGGGCCCGTCTCTTGAGCCCGATGCCCCAAGCCCGTCCTGGTTTTGTCTGCAGCCGCACCAACCGCGACCTCATCCACTACAAGAGCAGCGTGTGCAACACCATGAAGGCCAAGTTCTACAGCGTGGCCCAGGAGGCCGGCTTCTGTCTGCAGGACAAGATGGAAATCCTCATGAAGTAAGGGCACGTGCAGACGCGTTCACTCAAGGGGACATTCAGCTGGCACCGACTGGGTGCCCGCCTGACGCCAGGTGCAGGTGCTGAGGCCAGAGTGGGGGAGAGTAAGGACATGGTCCCTCTCCTTGGAAGGCTTCTAGTCTCCCCTGGGAAACACGGGCAGCAAGAAAATAATCAAATGAATAAAGACATAGGTAGTAATCACGATCATTGCCACGCAGGAAAGGAACAGGGTGCAGTGAGAGAGGGAGAAAGTGTGGGGCCCTAGTTTAGGGTGGGTGACTCTATGGCTGAGCCCTGAGGGATAACGGGGAGCTGGGGGGTGGACGGAGGGCAGACGGACACTCCAGGCAGCAGGACGCGTGCGTACAAAGTCCCAAGGCTGAGAGGGACGGGGGAGTTGAAGAGGACAGAGAAGCGGTAGATGGTACCTGCACCACTTGGAGCTGGATGAATGTATATGGCAGGAGGAGGCCACCGGAGACTTTCCTGTTCTGTTCTGACAACCCGGTAGCTGCCTCCCGCCGCAGCCCGCCCCTTGGCTGCAGTGACCCCGATGAACTCGTCAGCCCAGCAAAGGTTGCGTGGTAGCCCTTTGCCCCCTCATCCTATCCTCGTGGAGGGACGGGCTGCTCTGGGCCACGGGGTCAGAGATGATTTGTCCCCACCTTCTGGGGGCTCCCAGTCTAGTGAGGGAGACAGACACATATACCAGCTGTGACCACACAGGGTGATGAGGGCCAACAGGGAAGTGAGCAGGGGGCCGAGGGGACAGGGGGACAGGATGCCCTGCGCAGCCGGCCACAGGGAGCAGCAAGGTCTTCCTGGAGGAAATGACACTTTCAGCTCAATAAAAACAGGCGATGTTTCGGGACCCTTACTGAGTGCCAGTCTCGGGTGTAAGTGCCTTGTGTCCGTTTCCCATTTAGTCCTCACAACAGTCCTACGGGACCGGCACTATTGTTAGACCCATTTTAGAGATGGCAAAAGTGGGCCCAGAGATGTCTCTGGTAAAAGGTCACCCAGGAGTTAAGCAGTAAAAGTGGAATTTAAACCCAGAAAGTCACACAGACAAAGTAGGAGGGCAGGGAGTTCTAGGGAAAGAACAGCAAAATCCTAGAGCCAGAAAGGCGCACTGTGGGCCAGGAACTGCCCGGGGCCAGGGGTGGCTGGGGCTTAAGTTGCTTAGAGGTTATTAGAGACAGACAGAGGCCACATCATAAAAGGCCTTACTAGCCTGGCTGTGGAGGTTGAACCTTATCACAAAGACTTTGATCATGAGCCAAAGCGTCAAATTCTGGGGGAGGAGAGATGGGCAGGGCAGGGGTACAGCTGGAAAATGTAGGGGCTGAATAATCCAGGGCCTCGGAGGGCAAATCACTCAGAGGGTCTCATTCGGAGTAAAAGGAGAAGCCATTGAAATGTACATATAGGTGAACGGCATGGATAGGTTTATAACATTGTTTCTCTCTGCAGAGACAGGACATATGGGCAAAATGATAAGGGGGCGGTGGAGAAGAGAGGAACCCGCCTGAGTTAAACACCTGCTGTGTGGCTGTCATTAAATACATTATATTGTTTAATTCTCACCTCTGAGAACTAGGAACCATTACTATCCTTCATCTTATAGACGAGAATGCTGTGTAAATACCATCAAAATTAGAGAAACAATAAGGGCTGATTTAAAAAAAAGATTAATTATTTTCAAGGGAGGGGAAGGAGAAAAAGGAGAGAAACATCAGTGTTTCTCTCGGGGCCCCAGTAGGGGACCTGGCCCATGAGTCATGCCTGTGCCGTGTGTGACCAGGGGTCGAGCCTGGTGACCTTTCAGTTCACAGACCTGCCTGTGCTCAATCCACTGAGCTACACCAGTCAGGGTGAGAGCTGACTTTAAAAATGAATAAATAAATAAAAAGTGACTGGGTTTAGCAAGAAAAAGGCATTTCAGGACTTCAGAGAGAGTTGTATCATCTTGTAGCCAAGCCAGAGAGTAAACTCAACGGTGGCTCGCAGGGTTAAGGAGAACCTCACAATGGAAAAAGGGTTCGCCATTCGGTCTCAAAGGGCAGCTTAAACAAGACAGGAGTTTGATCCTTCTTTCTCTTTCTCAAACAACCTGTGACGCAGGCGCCAAGAAGAGAGAGGTCTCCAGAAGTTCCACGCTTTTGTCCTCGTCTCCAATTTTCAAAAGGATGTAGCAAAAATGAGACATAAAGTCTCCCTGGTCAAAGGACGCGTAGAAGAAGTCGCCGACCACTGGTAAAGACCCCGAGAACCAGAGAAGCCGGTCCCTGAAGGGGGGGAAGGGAGGGCTGTTGTTACAAAACCACATTTGATCCCGTTTGCGTTCAGGACACAGGCATCTCTCCCAAACTGTCCTTGGTCGGCACGACAGCCCCCAACACGGGCCACCCCCAGAGCACAGTCCAGCAGGAACCCTTCCGTTCCTAAAGCGTGAACGACCCAGCTGGCTCCGTGCCCTGTGTCTGACTCCTGTCTGATTCAGACTTTCGCAGAGAAGGACAAACTCGCCGCCAGCCCCTACGGGAGCGGCGGACAAGGCAAACCACCCTGAAAACTTCAACAGATTCAGAGGCCTGAGGGGCGGTCACTGTGCTCCCCCAAATAATTGAACCCCTGAAGGATACAAAAGCAGGCAGGCATATCCTAGGAACGCGGTGCCCAGGGGCGACGTGAGTGTAACCGACAGCAACAGGAGCTGCGCGATTATGGGATGGCAGACGCCCCCATAAGCAATGTTCCTCAGCTATCTGTTTCATTCCCCACAAAAATCCTGACGGGTCCGTATTACTCCCTACTTTGCAAATGAGGAAACGTTAGGATTTAAACCCCTGTCTCACCCCAGGCTCTATGCTCGTCCCCAGCCGGAACTGGAGTCGGATGAACTGGGGTTTTACGCGCCTAATCCTGGTGGGCGAGTAAATGAAGCTCTCAGAGTGAGATGAGATGAGAAAGTCTAAAACGTACCCAGAATTCCTTCCATGATTTTAGTATTGTGGAACAGGAGCTTACAAAGAGACATGAATAAATATATATAAATATAGATCACGAAGTATAAAATATACAAGAGTATGAGAAGCCCAAAATGTATGGTTGATGGTCAATTTCTTCAAATCTATCCACAATGGGTGCACATGTATTGGGGGGGACCTTTTATTTTAAGAGATGCCAACCCCCGTTTTTTTAAAGGGATGCTTTAAACTCTGACCACACACCTCAACCACCCCAGGTTAGAATCTACCTTGTTCCCACCATGAATTACCAGGTGACCCTCACACTCTGTCACAGCATTCGGAAAGGTTCTCGAAGCCCCCCAAAACTCACAGAGCTGTGGCCCGAGATTATTCACTCCAGAGCCGGAGTGTGGCAAACACACACGCACACAGACACACACTTCTTCCCCTTCCTCCCCACCCCTCTCCCCCCCGTCATCTCTATGGGAGAGCCCCCTGCATCCGGGAAAGTTTCCCACAGGTGTGTCCGTGTCCTCCACGGCCTGATTCACTCATGAAAGTGAAGCTTCAAAGTCTCAGTGTCCCTTCCTTTCCTGTAAGCTTTTCACATTGTCTGCTTGACAGAAAAATCATAAATGCATCTCTTTAGAGCATGTCCCTAGTCTGTCTGTTTAACAAAATGCAAGTCGTGCCCCCGCTTCTCCTGCCCTCGCACATGAAAGACTGGCCGGATCTGTGGGCCCCTTGCAGGTGGGACAGAGGGGAGCCCCCCAGACAAAGCCTGATACTGCCCCGCAGCCATCACAGGAGGGGTAGGGAGAGAGTGGGGGCGCAGGGCCACCTCCCAGCAGCTTCCTGACCGGCCCTCTCTCCTTCACATCGCAGGTACTTTGATCTTCTGTCCAAACTCCCCGAAGACCTGAAGAACTTCCGCCCCGCCAAAAAGATCCTGGCAAAACTGCAGAAGTTTGGGGAGAACCTGGACCTGAGGATCCGGCCCCACGTGCTCCTGAAGGTGCTGCAGGACCTGAGAATCTGGGAGCTGTGCTCTCCTGACATCGCCGTGGCCATCGAGGTAACTGGCCCCCCCAGCCTCCCCACAAGGCCTCGGGCGCCCTCATTCCACCGTCCCTCGGTCCAGGCACCGATTAAGGGCTGGGAGCACAATTAGAAAGACAAAGATCTCCTCCTTCGCGGTGCTTCAATCATCACCTGACCTTGTTAGTTCAACTCCAGGGAACATTATATTTGCTGTGTAAAGGGTGCTTCCAGCCCCCTGGAAGCCTGGAGGCTTTGGAGAGACAGAAATAAATGGGCCAGTGGACAAAATAAATGGCAGTCACCGCCAGCAGCCCTCTAAATCTGGCTACTCACACTGTGGCCCACAGCCCCGCAGCACGGACTTCACCCGGGTGCTTGTTGGAAATGCGGAGGAGTCTCAGGCTCCCGGCCAAACCTACCAACTGGGCACCTGCATGGAGAGGAGACCCCCGGCCATCTGTGGGCACAAGAGAGTTTGAGGAGCCCTAGTTCAAGGCAAAGGTCGAGGGGGCCCATCTGAACCAGGGCGCCCGGGGAAGGTGAGCGACGTTTAAGCTGAGACCTGAACGATGAAAAGCCAGCCAGGGAGAGAAGGGGAAAGGGCAGGTCCGGACGAGGGGAGAGCACGTGCAAAGCCCCAGAGCAGAACAGAACTGCACTTGTTGGAGGAACTCATCGGGTTGGGGAAGACTCTAGCTGGTTAACCCAAAACTAACCACAGCATCTGCCCAGCCTTCCCTTGCCAGATAAGGGCTCTGCCTATAACCTGCCAGTTATGTATGGGGCAATCTCTGAATGGGTAAGAGGTGGAGGGGGGTGGAGGCTCCCCCAGTTCTCTGAGAGGAGGTCACAACTCCAGCTAGTAAAACTTAGCATGCTTCTCTCCAACAAAGGACATGCAGACTTCTGATAACCTGGCTGTGGGGTGTCCTGACCTACAGCTACCTGAAACCATGTTCTGTGTCTTAACGCTTTCCTGGGAGCAAGCCCGCAGTTGACAGCCATTCTCAAAGGGGCCTATGAACCAGGAAGTTTATGAAGAAATGATTGTTTTTAAGATATTAAGGAATAGAAAAGGAAGAAATATGCAGACAGCTGGGTTTTCCTGATCTCGCCAAACTTTTGGTGGGGGGGGGGGGGGGGGTGGTCAATAGAAGAGGCTTAAAATCAGCCTCCTGAACCAGGACGCTAGAAAGGGATCTTTTTCTTGAAAGAACCACCCCCAACTCCCCGGGGCACGATGCTGGAGGCATTAGGAATGCCCGAGGGGTTGGAGGCATACTGAGACCACCAGCCCCGATCCCAAACAGTCCAGGATTTTTGGGGAGAGAGGGGAAGGCAAGGAGTCTAGCTTTCAGACCAGACCTGCGGCCCCACTGTGTTTGCCCTGCAGTTTGTGCGAGAACACATCATCCATATGCCACAAGCCGACTACATCACCTGGCTGCAGAACCGGATCAGCAACCCCATCCGGCCCCACAGTGTCCAGATATAGCCCGGGCCTGAGTCGACCAGCTGGCCCAGGGCAGGAGGGCTGGTCTCCACTGTGCTCCCGTTTCCTGTCCCCTCTCCTGGATGCCCACGAGGGTGCAGCAGGGTCATCTGGAGACTGACCCCAGCCAACATTCCGAAAGGGGCAGACTCCCAAGCACCAACTCCCCTCAGGCTCACGCCCCAATCTCAACCTTCCACCCTGCTCCTCATTGGTCCAGCCGGACGCTGCCCACTCCCTCTCCAGATTCCTGCGCTGTATTTCTCTTCCTCAAATCCCCGATAATAAAATTGAGCTGAACGTTGGATGTCTGGCTGGAAAAGAGTTGGAGCTGTGGAGTTTGGGTGTGGTACTCACATACTAACAGGAACAGCAGTTACACTTAGTGAGCGTCTGTCATGCAATGGGCCCAGGGCTGGGTGATATTATCGTGGCAGAGCCAAGTCCGGAACACGTTTGTCCCTGTCTTGGGCAGGGGAGAGGCTGAAACCACAGGACTTACTCCACCCTCCTGCTCACCTCCATCTGAGACTATTTCTCGGAGCTGTGGCACCACCCAGTGGCTCATATTAGTATTGCATGCCCTTGTCCTTGCCCACAAAACAGAACCTTCTATTAAAAAAGTCAGCAACGAGACCTACTCTGCTTAGGCAAGGAATATTTATTCAAACGAAAATCTTCTGCAACTAAAATAGATTATGGACTAGGAGGAGGCAATACCTAACCCCTCCAGCTCCCCGGCCCAAAGAAGAGCCACGGGGAGAAATATTTTGTCTCGGGATTTAAACTGGTCATCTTTTAGTTGAGAGGCAGAGCCAGAGGTTCAGTAATCACACATTTCTAAGACCATTTACATCTTCCAAATGGCAAAATTCACTATGCCCAAACCCTCTCAAAGATGTGAAACTCCCACCAATGGTGTGAAATTCTTCTCATTAAAGAAACTGAGGTGGGAGGGCATGACCTGGAGGTGCCTCACGGTACAACAGGGTGCAGCCGGGGGCGGGGGGCAAAAAGGGATTTGGAATGGGGTTCAGAACTCAGGGTGTCCAGGAAATATTAGAAATACATATAAGATGTCCTCACCCCTTACCCGTTCCCCCCCCAACAGGCGTCAGTTGGGGGATATCCCCCCCCTTGGACCGCTGTTCTGTAATAATGGGGCACCTTTGTGCCCAAAGGCCCAAGAACCAGGAGCAGAGATGGAAAAGAAAAGCTGACCCGTGGAACAAACTTTCAAGTTCCCATGGATTTGGAGGTGTTTGTGGGAACAGGTGTGTGAAGGTGAAGAATGACTCCTATTGACTGGAAAACAAGTTCGGGAGGGGGCAGCTGGCAGAAGGGGCGCCGCTCGGTGGGTGGGCAGCTCACAGATGTTCATGGAGTGTTTGGGCCAGGTGAGACCTTGTCATCTGCTTGAGCTTGAGTATTTATTGAGCATCTACTATGTCCCAGGCCTGTTGAGAGATGCAGGAGGTACAAAAATAGACACCTACACTCTATCCTCCGGGACAGTGCAGAAGGGTTAAACGGTGGTCCTGTAGCATGAAGGGTAGAAGAGAAGGTTCTGGAGCCAGACTGAGAACACTCCTAACTGCTCTCACTGGCTGCGTGACTTTGGAAGGCGTCTTTGTGTCCACATACCCCATCTGTAAAGTGGGTAGAACACTAAGGAGTCAATGAGAGAGCATGTAACTCCCAGGAAGACCCAGTACACATGAGCTATAACAGTGGAGGTGGGAACAGACAACGGGGTGCAGGTGGAGCATCCAGAAAGCCGCCTGGCCAATCTGGCAAGTCAAAGAAGGCATATCAGACAATGTCTTCAGACGATGAACTCTGATGCTGGCTGGTTTCACCCTGACTCTTTTCTTTTCCCCCAAACTGTGAGAGAAAGCCTATTTAGAAAGTCATAGCGGTAGAAGAGGTGAGCCATAGAAGAAATGGGTGCAGAAAGGAGTTACAGAGGCAAAAGAAGGGCTCCTGGAGCTTAGGAGAAAGAGAGGCAAGGAAAACACATGGTGGGGGGGTAGGGCTTGGGGGAAGCATGGTGTGCCCCATGGAGACAGCCACCAACCCTAAGTCTTAACATCACCACCTCCAAGAACTTAAAGGTCTGATTGCCGAAGGTCACGTGATCACATCCAAGCTGCATGAGAGGCTGAGAAAGCTAAATTCTGACTCTATTAACTTTTATAATAGGAGGAAGATTCATCCCATAAAGTGCAAGATTCCCCTCCACCCCCCAAAAAAAGGAAAGGAATTCAGATGCTAGCCACAAGAAAATAAGCCCGAGTGTCCTCTAGAGAACACTTCCTGGGATAAGTACCATCTTCCCTGAGTCAGAACTGGTCTATGGGGTTGGCCAAAGAGTCCATCTGGTTTTTCCCATAAAATAAAAGACACCCTTCTCATTTTCACCAATAAGTTTATTGATTTGGGTATTTTGAGTATGTCGACTATCTCCCACTATTGGTTTCTAGTGGGTAGAGGCCAGAGGTGCTGCCAAACATCTTCCAATGCATAAGACAGCCCCACAGGGAAGAATTCGCTGGCCAAAATGTCAATTGTACCAAGAAACTTCATAAACCACTTTTGACATGTTCAATCAGTCATGGCACCTTCTCCCTACACCGTGCAAACCTTTTCTTGCATTTCAGTTGCATTTTTACCTTTCCCAAAATAATAAAGCATCATATGCTGAAAATGTTACATATTTTCTCCCATCTTCAATAGTAAATGGCCACACAAAAATTCACCTATTTCGACAAATTTTTTTAAACCACATGCTGACATGACAGCTGTCACAATACAATCTAACAAAATTGTTTTAAATGAAGTTAAAGACAACTCAGCACTATTAGAGCCATCGTACATAAAAAACTAAAGGAACTTTTTGGCCAACTCAATACCCGCCGTGTTCTAGCAACGAAGAGACAGGGACACAGAGAGGTGGACTTTTCCACGGCCACAGCTTTGGGAGAAAGAGAATAAGGCTGGAAATGGGGAGCCAGAGGGTCTGGGAGGAGACCCAAAAGGGACAGACCTCTGCTGAGGCTGGGGGAGGAAGGTGCCAAAGTCCCAGCCAGAAGCTGGTACTGGGTCTGCAAGCCGTGGCAGCAAAGAACAGTGGGCAGCGGTCACTGCCCAGTCTGAAAAGGAGCTGGGACCCCACCTGGAAGGCTGTTGGATAGTAAGGAGGACATCTGGTGTTTAAACCCCAGTTCCCAGGACACAGCCTCTGTTAAACCCCTGGAAGTTCCCAAACCATAGAACTCCCCTTGTTACTGCTGGTGGGGCCCTCAGACCACACCTGAGTTTATGCTGATGAGGCAACTACAGTGGGCTCCTGGGCCGGGGGTGGGGCTGGCCTTACTCAAAGAACCAGCCACGTGACTAGAGGGTCATGGATGTCAATCCATCCCTCCTGAGGGTCAGGGAAGGAAGGGAGCTATAGTTCAGTCACAGGGTTAATGATTCGATCAGTCATGACTGCCTAATGAAAAATCTGACTACCGGGAGCTCCACTGAGTTCCCCCGTTGCCAACCATTCCCTGATGTGCTGAAAGGGTAATGATCTTGGGGACACAGAAGCTCTGCATCTGGAGCCCCCCCCCCCCCCAGAGCTCTACCTCCATCCCTTCCCCTCAATGGTCTTCACTGGTGCCCTTTACAATAAAACTGTAATCATGGTGTTGCACTGGCCTGAGTTCTGCAAGTTGTTCTACTGAATTATTGGGCCAGGGGGCTACTGGTAACCCCCAAATTGGAGCCCATTGGTCAGATTCAATGCCTTTCTTAAATCTCCTGCCTGATTAATTCTAGAAGGCGAACTGTGCCCATCAGAGTGGCGTTGCTCTCTGTACGCCGGGATGCTCTCCGGTGCCAAGAGACTTGCTCCCTGAACTTGTGCTCAATGGCTCCAGACAACCACTTCCCTGAGTGGCCCCGCCTCTGCCTCCCGCATGGCCCTCTGGCTTCTCTCCCAGCAAACTGGGGTTGCCAAGAGAAACCTGGACCACACTGGTTCACTCAGAAAGCTTCCTTTTACACTAAGTCCCAGGTTCAGGGTCACATTTCCAAATGGCTGAGACTACCAGGAAGTCGGATGGCCAAGAACTTGAACTAAAGAGCATGAAACAACACACCACAATGTCGTAGCGACCCCAAACAGGCCTTCTGAGCATGTGACGATCATCTCCCCAGCCGCGGTCACTTCACGGGCTAACAAGCGCTCCAGGCCACCGAAGAAGCAAATGATCCACCCCAAACGATTTCTACTCATGGAGGCACAGAAGCACCACCAGCCAGCTCTGCGCCAACTGCGGCAGGCTCGTGCAGTCCCAACTGGGCTGGAGGCAGGGATAAAAGTTTATAAAAACCATCCATTCAATGTCTTTTCTCTTTATACCAGAACTGGTAAGAAGATTCCACTACGCATCCAGCAACCCCAGGGCATTTGAAATGCGGTCTCCTTTATGCACATTTTATTTGCACTGTATTATTTCATGAACCTCTGACTACATAAAGCAGATTCGCTCTCCTTCTCATCTCCTCTTCAAGCTAATGTCATTTTACATTTTCCAGAAAACTTACCAGTGAGCAGTAGGACAGCTGAGTAGAGCCAGCCAGGAAGTGGGCCGGGTGGCAGCAGATTCAGTCTTCTCCTCATCTGGGGCCTCAGTGTATCCATCTGTGAAATGAGAGGGTTAGATCATGAGGTCCTCAAACAAACACGTCTACAAACTAGGCAAGTAATAAAAACCAATGCAGGGAACTGGTGTGAGTTTGGTGTGAGGTAGTGTGTCTGACCCCTCTTTTACAGACATTTAGGAAGAAAGGCACCAGAAGCAGACAGACCAGCTATGGTCCCTGCCCTGGGATGCACTCAGTTTTGTGAGGGAAACACGTACATGGACAGTGAGCAAATAAAAACGATACAAGCTACGCTCAAGTGCCATGTGAACCCACAGGAGGGCGGGACTCGCTCTTCCTAGATAAGA